AGTCACATAAAAAGCCTTGAGAAAGAAGATGCTTTATTGAAGGAAGAAAGCAGTATGTATGATGACATTGTTTTTGTAGATGTCATTGACACTTACAGAAATGTTCCCTCTAAACTGCTGAACTTCTACCGATGGTAAGCTGAAAAGAAAGTATTTTCTTACTTTCTCTTAGGAATGCTGTTTGTAGTGCATTATGTTATTTGACAGGTTCCATGAAATACATGCCTTATGTGATTTACTTCATTAAGTTGTATTTCTCTCTCACAATTTTGGGTGCATGTAGTAAGTAAAATGGCAGTGCCTATAGTTTTTTGAATGCTGACCCTTGGTGCCTCAAATCAGCACAAGCTAGCAAGACAGGCTTCTGCTCTACGAGCCCAGGTGTAAAAATTTTCATATCTCCTTGTGATTTCTTTTCATTTGTTTTCATTTCTTTTAATACTTAAACTGAAAACTAGCAGTTTAAGTATTTTAAAGGATGGCTTTTGGCCAGTTTGTATGCTTACTCAGTGTTTCAGTTTGTGGCTGTTGCTCCAGTCCCATAATCATCTTGATGCGCCTTTGCTGGACTCTCTGCCCAGTATGGCCCTGTCCCTCTTGTACTGAGGATTCTAAGACTGCACACTGTAGTCCAGATGTAGCCACACCAGTGCTGAGAGGAGGGGAAGGACTGGAAGCTTGTGTACAGGGGAGACAGAAGGCTGATAGGAAGAATTTTCATAGTGTAATTGCATTGTCTGGGGTGAATCTACTTAGTTTCTACCTCTAATTTGCAGTGATTTCCATTACTCTGAGACAACTGTTTCAGTTAATTGATGCTGCTGTGGAGTAAAAAATACAGTTGACAATTGTAAACCAAAATTCAGTTTAGTTGCTTGCAAGATTATGCACTTCACAAATTCCATGGCTATGAATGCAAATGAAAAACTGAACCATGCTTTCAGTTCTAAAAGGAAGTTTGCATGTCAAGACTTAGATCTTTGTGGTAATTTCTTACAGATTAGCAATTTTTCAAGATTTAGTAACAAAAGGCTTTTAAAAGTACCCTGCTTGTTACCCTTACAAACGTTTGTGACCAGCCAGCCATGATCCCTAGAATCTTAAGCTTTTTTGGTTATTTTATATGGGTCGCATTCAACTGTTTCAGACAGGTAAGAATAACATTTTTCATGTTTGAAGGGTATATTTACAGAGACAGAGTAAGTACAGAGTTGTTTCCACAGATGTTTTTTACCAACTATGACCTTCTCATTGCCCTTGAACTGACTGTTTTGTCCTGAAAGTGGGCTACTGACGTGTAGCCAGTGGCTTTTAACAGCTGTGCTGCCATCAGCATCAGGGATTCATATCCTTCTGATGTCAATACTGCTTAAGATGGCTTCACTAGTAGATCCACCATCTGTCCTGGGGAACAAAACTTCAAATTTGATTTCTTCCGCTCATACACAAGTCCATGTTGTAAGATCATCGTAGGATACAGCTGCATCTCCTTTGAAGGACAAGCAGTCAGCCTTGGTCAATAGAGAAAACATTTAAAAGTCAAGGGTAGCAAAGACATTCCTTCCCTCTTGCTTCACTCCCAGATCCCAAAAAACCCTTGGAGAGCATGCTGTCTGTAGTTTGTGGTGTGCAGCTCAGCATCTCATCACTTTTCATTTTGGCTACAGGACAGTGGAATCAACGAGTTTTGACTTGCTGCTGAAGACTGATGATGACTGTTACATTGATTTGGAAGCTGTTTTTAACAGGATAATGCAGAAAAAATTGGACAGGCCAAACATTTGGTGGGGAAAGTAAGTTGTTTTTCAAAATTACCTTCAAGTGGGTTCCCTCCTATGCCTAAGGAAGACAGCTGCAAAAAGCAGGACTTCTGTATGTGTTAGATCTTTGAATCTCAGAATCCGAAATACAGTAAATTTCCAGGGTATGCCTTTACAGTGATTTAAACTTGCTGAATATCTTACCTGGTTTTAAAATGTGTTATATACATCTTTGTCATGGTGCTTAAGTAAAAAGAATTTTCCAGCAATACAGTGAAATTAAAAGGGAAGTACATAGTGCAGAACTATAAATATTACTTTTATGATGTCACTGTGATTCTTCTGGTGGGCTTGAGGAAGTGGGGTAGAAAGGAGAAATTAAATTTCTGTTCTGGTCTGCACTTTATTGTAACATCTGTAAATTTTAGGCATTGCTACCCACTTCTACTGTTTGAAATAGCAGATCTGATTAATAAATTTTTGAGCGAATTTTCCCAGCCTGTAATACACTTGTGAATAACCAGGAGGATCAAAATAGCCCATATCTTCCCTTCCATCCATGGAATGCACTGCAGCTCTGGCATGACATCCAATATAGCAGAAACTCTATGCTACTATAGAATTCAATATAACATAATGGTACAATGTGCCTTCCTGTTGCCCTACGCTCATTGAAGAACAGATCTTTGCTGCTTTGCTTCACAAATCTAGTCCTGCCTGTTGCATACACATAAAGTGATTTAATAAGATGTGTGGTCAAGTGTGTGAAATAGTTGGTTATCTTGTGATTATCTCAAAGATCTGTAGGAGAGACACCTTTGAGTGTAAATTCTTTAATAGTCACAGTCTTCAGGTCAGGCAAGTGTGACATGTAGGGAACAACACTGAAATAACTATGGAAATATAAAATGCTTATCAAAGTAGATGCTTTTCAGTCTGAAGGGGGTTCAGCCCTTCATGCTGTGATTCAATGGAGTGGAAGATACTGAGCCTAAAGTGAATTCAGGTATCAGATGAGACTTTCATTTACTTTGTGCTTTAACATGTCAGCTTCAGTTGAGAATGGGCAGAACCTGATAACATATCTGTGACTCAGCTGTAATTCCTCCCTTTCAGGGCTGTTGTCTGAGGTGACAGTTCTTAGTAGTTCACTGAAGCTTTCAGCTGCTTGTGCTCATGACTGGAAATCAGCAATGCTGAACCTCTTCGTAAAATGGGGAGACCCTGCTGCATTGACACAGTTATGTCTCTTAGCTGTGAGTGCATGAAGTGTTTGTGAGGCCAGGGGAGTGCAACAGCAGCTTGTTCCCAGAGAGGGAAAGCAGGATGCCTTTCACTGCCTCACTGGGCAGTTTGACAGGGTCCATAGCGCTGCACAGTGTGGCAGCGAGGAGCTGTGCCACCCTTCGAGCCTGTGGGGAGACTGTGCAGAGACTGCTTCCTGCAGGCCTCTGGGAGTGAATAAAGCTTAGAGAACACCACTGCCAGGAAGAGTTCTTTTGTGATTCAGTGATGGCAGCCTTTGAACATCTCCTTTGTTGAGCTTCATTTGGAAAACAGCTTAACGAAGGTATGTCCCGGCTTCCTGATTTTTAAGCAGCCACTAGTTTTAACAGGAAAATGGGTTGCATACCATTGCTGTCTGCATGCCTGCTGGAGGCACTCCCTTTGTCATGTTGATTAACCACAGGGGTTAATTAGCAGGAGACAGATGTGCTTGTTACAAAATAGGTAAGGATGTGTGTGCTTACCTAGTTCAAAACCCAACAGAAAGGTGCAGATGCTGAAGATCTGACTGTCAATATTGCTTTGTTTCTGTTTTGAAAACTTTCTCTCCAAGATTGACAGGCCAATTAGGTCCAAACAACAGTTAAAATTTTAGCTTTGTGCCCTAGAAAAATAAGACTAGGAGCTATAATTAAAATTACCTACTTCTTTCTCTCAATCCTTTCCTATCAGTATTACTTCAGTTGTTATCAGTGTTCATAGGTTCCACAAAGGACTCTCTAAGAACATCTCATGTCTAACATGGTCTCTTCAGTTTCAGACTAAATTGGGCAGTTGATCGAACTGGGAAATGGCAAGAACTGGAGTATCCAAGTCCTGCATATCCAGCCTTTGCTTGTGGGTCTGGCTATGTTATCTCCAAAGACATTGTGCAGTGGCTGGCAAGCAACTCTGACAGATTAAAAACATACCAGGTAATAAAGATTAGTTCAGTTTTTCTGTAACAGCATGTACTGGGTGAGTCAGAAAGAACATTGTGCAAGTGTTAGCAATGGGTTCTCCTGGCTAATGTGGGCTTTTGCCATGTTTTTGGTTGCTGTGCTTAGTGCCTGTTCTAGGTCAAAGCACAGATGTTTTGGACTCAGAACCTCTAGAGCTGTAATCTTGTTTTTTTTGTACTCTGTTTTTGTAAGAACAGTGTATTGTCATGGGAAAGGTGGGAGGATTATTTAACACCTCTGCAGTAGTCTGGCATAGGTTTTTGTAGTTACCATTCTTTACTGCTGGTAGATTATACAACTTATTCCAGGTCAAAGTTATGTTTTTTGCTTTCTTGGTGCTCATATCTGTATTTTTTATTTTTATCTCAGGGTGAAGATGTGAGCATGGGCATCTGGATGGCAGCTGTAGGACCCAAGCGATATCAAGTAAGTCTGAAGGAATTGTCTGACCTTACAGAAAGAAGAGATGCCTGCTGTTCCAAGTAGCATAAAACAGGAGAAATGTTTTTTTTTTTCTTTTTCTTTAAAAAGGAATTGAAATAACCATGGAATTAAAATCCAGAGAAAAAAAGTCTTTTAAAGACATATTTAAAGAAAAATCACAAAACTGCCACAAACCTGCAGACTCCATCCCTACCCCCAGGTTCTCTGAATAGGTCTAGCAGATCAGTTTGGGACCTTTGTGTACAATGTTAGTTGCTAGAAGCAATAAACACCTGATTCTTGGAAGTGAAGATTGTTGGAGACTATGTACTTTCTAAGAAAACCTATTGAAATGTTTGTCTCTCTTAACAGGATGGTCTCTGGTTGTGTGAGAAGACATGTGAGAGTGGCATGCTGTCTTCCCCCCAGTACTCGCCCCAGGAGCTGGGAGAGCTCTGGAGATTAAAGGAACTGTGTGGAGATCCATGTAGATGTGAGGAAAGATGATGGACTTGCCTTGGAAAACAGGGTACTGTATAATGATCATGGAAAAGTGTACATTTTGATTAATTCCCGGAACAATAAGAAATATTAAGGTACCTTTTAATGCTGGGTTTCAACTAAAGTATAACAATATTTGCACATCCCTTTTGATAATTACAAGTGGACTGATACAATTCATTTTCTATAGTATAGATGTTCATCAGACAAAAACCAAAATGTTCAAGATTAAAAAAAACAAAATCCTTTTTATATAAAGTCAAAGACCTACTTGTAATTAATAAATGCACATAAGAATGCCAACTAGCCTGTCTTTTGTAAATTAAAGCACTACCACTTGATTGATTGATTGATAGGGTGTTCCAGGATCCCATGGAGAGTTGTGCTCAGCACCAGCTGGTAAGTCTTGCTGCAGCAGGTTCTGTGCTGTCTGAGGGATTGCCCTCATCTGTGCAGGAACAGGGACAGCAGTGGGGGTTAGGATTTGTGATTGGTTTGTTTATACCTTTGTCATTTTAAATTTAAAAAAAAAAATCTAGGTTTGCTTATACCAGATCTTTAAGTACAGCAAGCTTGGCCTGATATAGGAGGGATTTCTGAGAGCTCACTCTGACTAGATATGATCTGAGGTAAAATAAGAAAAGTAAGATTGAGGAACAGTATGCTAAAGACTGTAAAATAAATAGCAATGCCCTGCAGTGTGCTGAGAACTTATTTATAATGTGGGTAGAAAGGAAGTCTGGCAGATTTTGACCCTAATCATCTAAGATAGATGCTTCTAAAAATACTGCTGGGTTTTGTTCACATTAAGGTTGTTGGATGTAGGTGAAAACAAAGGGCAAGTGGCCTCTCAGTGCAGCACTGATCTTGTCTTAACAGCAAAGAGATCACAACTCAGCCCTGTACTCGGTTCAGTAAAACAAATTCTCACCACTGCTGGGGGCAGGCTGTATAAAATCTTGGCAAAAGGATGACCTTGAGTTTTATTTAATTGAAGCATTTAAGCACTATTTGGTATCTCTCCAGTAGGACACAGGAGCAGATGTTTTCATGGAGGCTGATGATCAAGTTGAGGAGCTGAAAGTACAATTGTACAGCCCTTTGGTGCCACGTATGTGAAACTCATATTCACCTGTCTGTCTGTTCAGGCACAGGCTGTCCGTGTGTCTGTCTCTCTTCTGCAGTTCTTGTGTCAGTTCTTCCTGCAGTCCAGCAAGAGAGTCCCTTCTTACCATCGTACTAACACACAGTCTCCACTTTCTATTGAGTAAAACTGCAAAGGCTTTAAGTCATTGTCTAGTTCGACTTCTTTTCCTTCCAACTAGAATATGAAAGCAAAAAAAACCTGATCAGACTTACACTGAAATCCCTTCATGTAAACCAAATAGCAAGCAGTTGCAGTCAGGGAGAATCTGTCATATTACAGGCATGAAATTAGGTCCTAAATTACAGCATGAAGACAGCTCTCCTCAAGTGAAATAATTTTCTTTATATAGTATTTTTAAAACATGCTATGGACCTTTAGCAGCATGAAATATTTTGTTGTTCAATAACTATTTTTAACTCACTTTAGAACTTTTGTAGGACAGTTTCAGGTCTGAGCCAGGAATTTTAAATAGGCGATACAGCAGTCCTTTGACCTTCTGAATAGTCATAGACTCTGTTGGGGGAGAGAAAGGAAAGTTATTAGAAAAATGTTGCTGCTGCTGAGCTGTAGCAAAGTACCAGTGTTTCACTTTACTTCCAGATAGCAACAGTGAAAGGCTGTATTGCTGCTTCAGTTCTAACACTTCAATAATGTCTGTGGTATCTGAAACTGTATCTGCTACTGTCAAATGGAAAATGGTTTAACTTGTGGTGGACAGGGCAGGATGTGCTACTACAGAGTAAGCACTTTGATCCCCTATGCCAAATTAAAGTGTTACAGCTTCATAATTTACCTTTTTTGAGTTTGTATTTCTACATGCTAAACTAAGTGACCTTTGGGACATGTACCAGACAGGTTCTGACTGCTTGCATCTGGCAACTCTTCCTTGCAGTTTTCATTACCAGGAATTTGCTTTCCCAGCACAAGTAAGCAAATGGCACGGTGGAACTAGTGACATTCTTAGGAATGGTATTGAGTTATTTGTCCCAAACACATTGTCAGCAGAGCTGTTTAAGTTATGAAGTCAGTTATAGGAAGGGGTATTTTTGTAATGGATCTTGAATGAGTAGATGTAATTTGTTCCAGAGGTGATACCTGTGTTTGCAATAGATAAACTCAGTATATTGGTTGAACTTTCACTTCTTTTGAAGCTTTATCTAAAGGCACAGCAATAGCGAGTTACTCCTGTAATACCACGCATTGTACTTAGACAAATATTTTTCTATCAAACATTTTTGTAAAAACTGTATCTATCTGATTTTATGCAACTTGTGATAATAAATGTGATTTTTATTTTAGAATAAAGCTTGAATACATGTTTTCTCTCAGACTTCACTCTGACACATCTTTCCAAAATATCAGCTTAATTTAGAATGGTCTTAATCATTCTAGTATCACTACAGGCTCTAAAACTTCAAAAGACAAATTTGATGGAGGTCAGAACTAGATTTCTGATTTTAATGTTTTAGATACTAGACCTCAGTATTTAGATTTACACACTATGTGGTTGCCTCTTAAGACTTCATGTTCCGATTACTTGGTTAAAACATCCACCAGATTTCAGCCCAGTTAATTGGCCTTTAATTGCCTCAGACACATTAACCATGAAACCAGAAGCAGAAGTCCTAAGACAGACAAAGCATCAACTTCCCACCTTTGAGCTGGACTGAAAGTAAGTATGAAGGCCAGAAGAATAGTAATTTTTTCAAACAATTTCTTCTTTTGTCATTTCTTTATGTGACAGAGGAAAAGGTTTCCAGAGCTGACAAAGCCAGAGGCAGCTGCCATTCTTAAATACAGTTGTTTGAAAAGGAGTGATGAAACAACTGCTTGAACATAAGCAAAGACTTCTTACCTGGTAGTTTTTTCTCTACTGGCTTCTGTTCAGGTTTCTCAGGACACTTAATTGTCAAAGCTTAAGGAAGAAGGGTGTGAGGCATTAGTGAGAGAACAATAAGCCTTGTTCTGGCAGAAGCTTTCTAGTCTGTTTTTATTACAAATTGTTTCCCATAGCTCAGCCTGATCTCAGAAACTAGGAGGTAGCCTGCATCTCAGCAGTTAACATACCAAATAGTTATTATCTGAAAAATTAGTTAATTTAAATAACCAAGTTTTTTATTCATCTTCGGTAAATTATTGTAGAAGTGACTTCCTAATGCTTAAAGGTAGGATTTTTTGGTCAAAATTAGTATATACCTAAAAATGCTTAATTTCTATTTAATTTTTTTAAAATAACCTGCAGTAGAATGGAAATTGCTTATTCAATTTAAAATAGGCTTTTGGTACTCTCAAAAGCACCATACAAAGACTTTTAAAGGACATAATTAGCCTAATTATTTTACAGATATTAAAAGACTTATCCTTACAAAAAGCTTTATGTTATATCTAGCCAACAAGATTCCTTGTTCTATTTAGTCTTCCCCGTAAATGCATTAGAATGTAATGCTTTGAAATACTATTTTTCCCATGGAGTAAAAAGTTTCAGTTCTTTGAAGTGGGAAGCACAGCTAAATGAATTTGCAAGTCAAGGATGTAAGCTAGATTAAGTATGTAGACAGCCTCAAATACCAAAGCTACCCGTATTTTTCTTGTGTGTCCTAAAGTTAAGAAGTAATAAAAAAAGGTAATATCAGAAAATAGTGCAGCTGTCGAGATTAAAACCTGAGACGTCTTCTGTAAAGAAGCCATTCACACAGTCAGAAGGAGTATCAATAACCTTTGTTCTCCATGAAATCTTAGTTGAGAAAATAATTTGGCTTGGGTTGAGGGGCGAAATAAGAGAGAATACACAGAATCAGGTTTCCAGTCACACTCACTGAGATAGTTCAGAAAATCAAAATTACAAGCTGGAACTTTTTGTTCTCCATATACACCTAGGAGACACTAAGCTCATAAAATATTCTAAGTGCAGAAGGAACAATTTTGACCATTTCTGGCCTCTTACTCAGGAGCTGATTTTTCAGAGTCAAAGGCTGTTGTCTCTTCAGTTCTCCTTCTTCAGGTGCTCCATATTCTGTTGGAAGAAAAGCACATGTGGAACCCTTCAAAGACTAAACCTCGAGACCTAAGACCACTGTGTGCAGGATCAGGCAGGAGTTCCCTTGGCACAGACGTGGTGGCTCCTGCACCATGCAGTGCTGCAGACACAAGCCTTGTCCAGCTGCTACAGCATTCAGGACAGGGATGTGCTGCTTAACATTCCCACTGCTGAGAGAGCTACTGAATGGATGGATGCACACAGGTGCTGGGGTCTCCAAGGCAGGGAGCCCATGTTCCTGAGGCAGCAGTGCCCTGAAGGGTGCAGTTCTGTGCAGAAGCCCACTGGCACGTGATTTACCACATGCGTGGGCTTTCCTAAGGTTGTAGCAGCATGGAAAAAGCACCAAGAGGAAGAGAAATTGAAAACAGACCAAACCGGTGCTTCCACAATGCCAGAGGTGAGGAAATGCTATTGTACTCTGTTTGTACTTACTAAGACAAAGTATTGGGTATCTGGGATGGGCAGCAAGAAATTCTTCACTTGGTTTGTTTTTCTCTGGGTTCCAATGCCCACCAGCTTCTAGCCAGTCCTTTCCAAATATTTTGCGATAATCAAGCTCTGCTCCTCTTCTTTCAGCAGGAAGGATCTGTACTGACACAGGAATGGCATACAATATAATTATATAACTTTCCAGACAATAAAATCTAATCAATGCCACAGACTCCTTGGTCTTACTTGGTGTTCAGTATGTTTCAGTGCTACCAAGAATCTTACAAACCACGTCTCCAAATACTGAATGATCCATATATTCAGTATATTTTAGAGCCTTTAAGAGTCTTAAAGCCCCTCTCTGTACTCACTGAGCCATAATTGAATATCTAAGCAAAGACTCTGCTGTATATGATGATGCAAGGATGTTTTCTGTAGCAATGGATTAGATGCTGCTTCTGCTCTCCTTTATGATAAACATTAGCTGAAAGTTTGATTTGGTGTGGATTATATTTTTCTATTACAGAAGGCAAATATTGGTATTGCAGTCACTGAAACAGATCCGACTATGCTGCTTTTTCTATTTTTTTCTTTTTTTAAGAGTATAGTTTTTGTTAACAGTCCTGAAACTTCAACACAATTCAGGCACTGAGAAAAAAACACCATTGACTCATCTTGTCCAAGTCCCCACTAAGTTAGCAACGCTCACAAAGAGGGCTCAGTCTTGTACTGAACTTGTGACTGCCCCACTGACAAGGGGATGGACTGGTTGGCACTTTACTTTTCGGGCACCCAAACAATTGATAATCTTAAAAGAAACTGAAAACAATTCCTCAGGCAGTGATTTAAAGTTTTTGCTAGACTTATGCAATTTTTTGAAATATCACACACCTCACAGTTGTTCAAAACCTCCAACTGACTTATCTTGGCAATAATGAGCTGTATCAGGGTCTCTGGGTTCTTCTCTGTGTCCATGATGGGGTTATTGTTACACTGCAGTGCCCGCAAACTTGGCAGTTTATCAAGCTCATTGATAGATGACCACTGAAATGAAAGGGAAGAGTCTTTTGAGGAAATATAAAACATAACTTCATTTCAGAACAATAGCAGGTAACACTGACTTTTCCTGTACAACAAATGTGACTGGAAAAATTCTTTTGATCATCTGAACCAAGTTCTTGGATCCTGTTCATTTAGCTAAGGAAAGAACTGCACTCCATTTAATTAAAAACCAAACCAAAGCAGAAATTAGTCAGACAAAACAAAGAATTAGTCAGAATTTTAGATCATTAGATTCGGTGATAGGAATTATAAAGTAGCTGCCATTATATACACATGTTTTAACTGTCAAGAAATATTTTAAAATTTTTAAACTATGTCTCTGTATTGAACAAAGTGTTCAATAGTTACCCTCAGAATCTTACACATAAAATCAAAGAAAATTTAAAAAAGGAAACTTAAAAGTTATTCTTAAAGATGCATTTATTTACAAAATGTGAAACCATCACAATCTAACCTACCTGTGATATTTTATTTTCATTTATTGCAAGGCGTTTTAGTGAAGGAAACATTTTAGTTTTGCATCCTAGGAAAAGAGTAACAAGAAAATAGTGAAAACTCTAAATATTAAACAGAATTTTAAAACTATAAATAAGTTACTTATTTTACATACCAAATCCAGCATCAGGAAAGTATATAGATGATATCCCAGTATTTCTAAGTATTAGCTGTTCTAATCTGAAATTTAATAGATACAATGATCACTGTATGTGGCACAGGAAGTTTTTTGCAAAGAGATAAAACCTAACTTTTTTTTCCTTAATAGAGATCTGCAGCTTTTGGTATGGTGCAGCATCACTGACAAATGAAAGGCAGCCTCACAGGCAGTACCCAGACTTCAGCCGTGTTCAGGGAATAAAATTTTCTGTGAGTAAGTGCAACAATTTCAAGCTTTCAGAATGGCTCCTGAATTTAAAATGTATGATTTTCTAAATGAATTTTTTAAAAATAGCTTGTGGCTATTGAAAATTATGGTTGCTGTTTTGGTGTACAGGGAAAGATGATAATTCTGCAAATTAGCAAAATGTGGTAAATCACTTTCATTTCATAAGTGTATAATGAAAACCTAATAACATACAGCTGAAGAACGTGTTATTATACAACAAAAGCAAGATTATATTAAAATAGCTCAACTGAATAATGCAGTTACTCTCCTCAGGAGGGCAAAATGCCTCTATTTCAAGATCTCATGAATCTTTCATGCAACATCAATACTATCATATTTCAGCCAACAAGGACTACAGAGATGAATATCTAGGACAAAGAATTTCCAGCAATTTTGTTTACAGCTACCTGGGGAGATGTGCTATGAGATGCAGTTGATTTCCATCCAGTAGCTGGTTGTCTGAAAGGTCTAACAACTTCAGGGTCTGCAGGACATTATCAGGCCTGATGCATTGGAATAAACAAACACAAACCCAGAATATTTAAAGTTATTGGCCAATGAAAACACTCTTTTCCCAAGTATATAATTGCATGCACACAATTGTACACATTTATAGATGTTCTGAAATACATAATGTGAAATTTGCATCAATTATTGTCGTGGTAATGTAAATGTTACAGGAATGTAACATTATGTGCTGTGTAACTTTTGTGGTACATCAGTGGCTAACAACTGACTGACATGTTACTCACCTTTCCAGAACTGTAATATTATTAGAAGAAAGGTACAACTCTTCAAGTACTGGCCATCCTTGAGCACAAAGAAGAACCTAAGAGCAAAACTTTATTTAATATAAATAAAGATGGGACTATTTCAGAAATTATACTTCATGCAAATTTGCTCTGAATGTGTTCAGAAAAAGCTATGGCTTCCCAAGCCAGAGGAACAATTCTTAAAGATTTCCTAGTCTTCCCTTTCTTCCATATGGCTCTCCTGTGCCCAGATCTACCAGCACAGATGACATCAAAGGGGTTCTGCAGTCACAGGACTGTAAATCTCAGGCTTGTGGTCACACTCACAGCTGAGACTGCAAACTGAGTGACCTGGAAACTGAATTAATTTATTCACTGAGGTGAAGTGACCAGGTATTCCCTATGATGAGGTGAGGAATAGGCTGTACAAACTCTACATGTGCAGAAGTTCCAGAACCTATGTGTATAGCTAATAGACATAACACATCTGACAGAATATTTTAAATATGTTAATTTTTCAGAGCTTGAGGCCTTTTTTGTCTTGGGACTGTGCCAACCTATAACCCAATAAAAGCCAAGAATTGCATGAATTCAACACATCTTGAAGTTTGCAAGCTCTCTAAAGAAAATAAATTAATTCAGAAAGGGCTACAAAATGAACAGAGATATTTTTGGTTTAGATCTTATGCCCTGAAATTCCATAAAAGATGCTATTTTACTTTACACAGCACGAATCCATCCAGCTGCAGGTCTATGTAACTGACTCAAAATAGACACCATGTCAAGGGTAAATACTGAGATCTCCTCAAGAGGCAGCCTATGATTTGGAGCTCAACTGCTTTACACCCAAAAAGATGAAAAATCAACCTGCTGTCATATCTGTAACACACAAACTCAGATATAACAACTTTTCCTGTTCCAAACCAAAAGCAGGGAACACTGATATGTAATCTCTTTAATCTGATAGTGTTTCCCCATGTCAACAAGATGGATCAAAATAGTTATCCACTGGTGATGAAGCATGACAAGAAACCTGCAGAGTCAAGAGAAATGAGGTACATGTTCAGTAACTGCCCCACAACAGCCCAGCACTGGGATAGATGGATGGATGGAATAAAAAAACTGCACAAACCTGAAATGTCTGAAGATTTTTCAATATGACTAGAAAATTGCCAAATGACAGGTTACAGCACAGTTCCAAAAAAACTCAAATTGCTAAATTTCCAGCTACTGCTTAAAACAGCTTCCTCAGAAACAAAAGTTCACAGAGCTGACACTGAATTAGCCCTCAGGAAAGAATGAGGCCTCATTGTGAACAGCTGATGAGGTAACAAATACCTAGAAGAGAGCCACAGATGCTCAAAACCAGAAGAATGGAAATGCAAGAGCTATTGCAAAAGAAATAAAGATAAGAACAAGAAACAATTGTCACCATGTAAGTTCATGATGTTCCTGTATCTTTAGTCTGTTTATCTCAGGAAGCAAATAATATAATTGGGAAAGGCACAAGGAAGCTATACAAGAATTAAAACCATGAAACAGAGAATAGCTGTTCTCAGTTACTTTCATATAAAACATTGGGACTTACTAAATGAAATTACCAGGCAGCAATATCAGAACCCAAAAAGGGTTGAATTTATATTAAATTATATGCACAGCAAAATTTGCTAATGGGTTCTTAATACAGTTAGATAACTCATGAAACAAAAAAATCCACAAATATTAATTAGAGGTATATAGCTGAGCTCACAAAGCCACACAATTCCAGATTACGTTCTAAGAAGCTCTTACCATGTGCTTACCCTTTGCCTAGAATTTTTCCCAACTACCTGCTGCTACTTGCTAGTGTCAGAAGCATGATCCTGCACTTCTGTCCTAACCCAGATTTTTCTTTTACCCTGTATAATAGTATATTATATTATAAATACAAAATCTTAGTTTGAAAACAGAATCACAAATATAACATTATGATTTAAATGCTGAATAAGAAAGAAAGGGTTTGGAGCCATAAATATGAAGTCATTACAATCAAATGCATTAATTCAATTTCTAAGTAAATGGCTGCTAACTTTAAGTTATTTTACAAGACATTTTTCCCCCTTGAAAGTTATATGTTTTGTTTTGAACAATCGATCAACAATTCTACAGTAATAAGCTCTTTTACTGATAATCTCAGAAGTATTTAGATATATGCAAATCATATACTAATGAAATAATTCTTTCTGAAAACTGATGCTCAAGGCATGTGAATGGGGAGCTATGTATCACTACATAAATTAAGCATGTCCCTCTCCTGTGAAAAATACTTCAAAACAGAGGAACAAACTAAAATAAAAATCCAAGTATAACTATCCCAATGCCATATAGTCTTACATATAACAGCAAGTAATTTTGAAATGCTGTTCACCATTAAATGGTTTTGATTTTAATTAAAACACTCTTAAGACTTTTGCTTATATCCACACTGATAATTTAAATGTATTTCTCATTTGCTTGGATTATATTCATTACTATTTTCTATTTGGAAGTTGACTTTTTCAGTAACTCCCCTCAGAGCTTAAGAAGTGACATTTTCAAGTGGTTTGTTCACAGAGTACTGATGTCAGGCACATGGCTTTATTTTTCCACTTTTGTTTGGCTGCCCTGCAACACCACTTTCAAGCACAGGCTTGCGTCTCCCAACTTATAGGGAATGAATTGGAAAAAATTTATAAAACAGGTTTTGGAACCAAAGATGCCTTTATGGTCAATGACGAATCATCAGCTAAAGCAGAGTTTCAAAACAATAAATTCAAAAGCTGCATCATTTAAAATGGCTCTGACTAAGCTTGGGCTTTCTCACTGCAATTTAGCTCTGGAGAACTCTGATCTGCAGCCCTGGCTCCAACCAGCCTTTCAGTCACCCCATGGAGGGATGAAGGACAGCTGCTGGCAGGTGCCAACATTTTAAACACCACAATGCAGAGATTTACTCTGATGAGCACTAGGTGACATTTAAAGTGTTTGTAGCCACTTAGTTCTTCCATTCCCTTCACCATTCATATTGCTGCTATTATGGAAGGATTATCAACTGTCCTGCCATAAATCCAACAGGCAGTTTTAAGAGCACAGTGAATGGACACTAAACAAAAACACAGCAGTGACCTCCCTCTAGTCCTGCTGCAAGACAAGAGAATGAAGAAACTTCTTCCTACTCAAGCCCCAGTTTTTTTAAGTGCTCTTTTACTGGATAGCAGCTGGCAGCTGAAATCTGAAAAGTCATGTAATTTTACAATGCAGTACTATAAAATCTGACCCTGAGAAATCCAAAAAACAGTTTGGAATTTAGAAGCTATTATAAGTGACATGACACTGAGATGCACATCCTAAGCCCCATCTCTGCAAAAAGGCCCATTGCTAACTGTAGCTGACAGCAGGACTTCCTTCCTAATAAGACGTCATACCAGGAAATAGTCATGTAAGTGTGCCCTCATGATTCAGTGCCTGAAACAAGTCAGAGCTTTGTTCTTCCTCTGCTCTGTGCTGCCAATAACCAGGCATCATATGGTTCAAGAACCATCAATATGGGCAAAGATACCAATCCAGTCTCCTCCTGATGCAAAGTAATGCCAAAACAAGAATTTCTCATCATAAGGAAACATTTTCTTTCCATTTGCATTTGTTCTATTGCATGCAGAGAAGTACATGTAAATCTTCAACAGCTACCAGGAACCAAGAAGTTTTCACTTAGAAAAAATTTTGGCCACGAAGATAAATTGTACTCCGACTGCTTTCTTTCAATTTGGCAATTTACAGATGTAGATGAAGTAAAATGTTTCTTATTAGACTCCTATGCCAATATTACTTCCTTCATTATGTAGGAAGTACATAAGTCAATATGTAACTAACACAGTTACCCCACAGCACCTTTTCTAAGGATGATTTGATTTCAGTAGAACAATACAGTGCACAAATGTTTATTGTGCTTTCCTTGCCTCAGAAACCTAATGATACTAATTTTTTAAAAAAAAATCAGGAAAGGCTATTACCTCTGTCCATGTTATTTCAGTTTGATTAAGTGCCAGAATCTTCAAGTTTGAAAATGCACTGGATGTAAAAGTTGATGTAGATGGAAATCTCATTTTGTTTTCACTGCATTAAAAAAAATTATTTGCATAATAAATAATCACTTTTATTTAAGTCATTAGTTTGGAGCTACACATTAAAGAAATTTATACCCTCCAAAAACTAAAATCACTGCTTAGCTGTCACATATTTTAAAATATAATAAAATATATTTCTAATTATATTCAAACATACTTTTTCCTAATTTACTTTCCTGATTCAGAAATGCATATTTATTCAAGAATGCATATTTATTCCTCTGTGGCCTCTTTCTCTTTCACTAAGTTTTGAACATGAAAAAAATTATTTTCATTAATATTAAATGAAACAAAGCCAGAGCTTGGGCTTAAAATCCTTAGTTTTGACTGAAAATGAGGAGCCTAAATGACTGTCCAGACCCCAGCAAAACAAAAGTATGTAAAATCTACTCTCAATAGGTAAGTATCACTAAAAAGAAGAAAATAGCAAGATTCGCAAATCTGCAGTCTTCAAATCAGCTTTCATTATTCACCCTGAAAGAGAAGTTTCAAGGCCTAATCTATCTGCATATTCTCCTAAAAATCTCTCAGTGTAGTTTATAATTACATACTTATGAGTAAAATTTCCACATAGAGAGCTAGTCGATGGTTAATCACTTTTATTCTTCTTCCAACATTCCATGCATGAAAAAAAAAATCAGTACCTTTTTTAAAGCAAACAGAAGGTCAAAACAATAAAAAACTGATTCAGACTATATCAGTTTGCAGTGGTAAGCATCAAATTCCAGCATCAATCTCATTTTGTTTTCCATTTTTTTCACAAATAACTTCTGAAAACCCTTCAGTCTAGAGTACACTTCTCAACAATAAAAAACTGAAAAAAATTATTCTGGGTGAATTAAAATAAATTTCTCTGGATTCTCATGCAATAAATCATTATATACTCTAGGCAAAGTTAGATTTACAAATAGCACCCAGGTTGCAAACAGCTGTTCATTGCTAAATATTGAAGAAAATGGAACACCTGCAGCTATTTTAAATATACATTTTTGTCACGCTAATGATAAGATTAAATAAAAAACCTGGTGATTTAGGCTGCTACCTAATCCACTGTGTTACTTCACACCAGAAGATTATTGTAGTATGTGCCAAATACAGTGTATAGGTGTATACTAGAAATGTTCTTTCTTTTGAAATTATTTTATGAATTTTCTTGTTCCAATAGAATTGTAGCTTTATTTAACAACATCCTCCTTCCTTTTCCAATGTCATCATTGTACAAGAGATTTTCCCTAGATCTGCCACCATGGTCCTAACAGTTTCTTACCAGCATCATTGTAGGACAGAAATAGACTAAGGTTTGGGATAATTAGGGTTTATTCAAAGCATTATGGATAATTAAGTTTAGCATCAAGACACAGTAGGCTAAACAAAAGTGGGCTCCTAAATGCAGGCCTGACTGAGCAGCCAGAATGTATCAAGAATAATAAAAAACAAAGATCAAGTCTTAAAACTTTGAAGAAAATGTTTTCTAGTACTTAATTTTACACAGAAGCTGAACTCGTCGGGTTCGAGTCTTTTCTTGAACACAAATGTCAGAAAAATATAGCCCACAACTTAAGCAGTTGCTTAAGAATAAGATTTAAAAAAAAACAAAAAAAAACTTAACTCCCAGTAGAATTAGCCTTGTTGTATCCAGTTACATTTAAAAATCTGAATCCTGAGCCTAGGTTTTTGTTCCTACCCCAAAGGAAGAGAAACTTAAATATGAATATTTATACCTGACATTAAGTGTTTCCAGATTTTGAACTTGAGAAGCAATAGCTATTACTGTCTCCCAAGATGATATCAGATTTTTTGATAGGTTTATATGCCTCATATCTGAAATTTCTTGTTAAGAAAAATAAACTTATCTCAAAACTGAGCTTCCTTTTTTCAGAATTAGAGTTTTGTTTTGAATCAAAGAGAAATAGATTACACTAAGGGATGGTACTGCTCAGTTACAGCAAATTTTATTTTGATTTGTGATATGGAAATGGCTTACAGTTTTATAAAAGAGCTTAACCATACAAATTCTCAAATGGATTAGTTTCTGTACTGTCAGGAACTCTTATAAGTCCTTAAAATGTAACAAATAATAACTGCTTTGTAGTCTTGTAACACTGCCACTGGATGCAGTGTACTAAACAGATTATTTGTTATATATTGGAAACCTCTGGTGTCAACAGAACATACCAGTTCTACTTCAGTAAGGTTATCTATTCTAGGGAATTTTTTAAAAAAACATTGCTGAAGCCTCTGAAACTGCAGTCACAGTAACAACCTATGACTATACTTCTATTTTTATATACAATTTGCATTTCCTTTCAAAAATTGTAGACGTCTGGCTTTTTAACTTTTTAAAATTGCATTAAACTTTTAAATATAAACTTCAGGTTTAATTTTTTTTTTTAAATAAAAGGATACAAGTATCATTCATTGACGTGAACACTTGGAATGCTAAAGTATGTACTTTATTTGTGGCATCATGCAATATAGTAAAAAAAGGATACTGACACACGTTCTGCTGATTTCCTCTTCCTGACCAGCATGGCTCACTGCACACTCACGCACTGAGATATCCACCAGTTTGTTCAGCTGTCTACATGAGAAAGAACATTCTGTCAGGTATTCTTCAAACAGAAATATGTATATTACATAAATGCCTGGTTTTTACAAGTACACAACATCCTTTTCCTGTGTATCTCCTTTGGAATTAGCAATGTGCAGATTACTACACTGCAGTGTCATTCACACTTGAAAACAGACACATCTCTATTTTTTGCCTTTACATCACTACTACAAAATAAGTCTGATTGAACCACAGTCCCACACCCCCCAAAAACCCTCATCCAAGTGAAATAAAGAGTGGTAAAAAAGATTAAATATATCTGTACAAATTGGAATTTAATTAGAGATGTCAAGTTAAAAAGGTTTTGTGCAACATGTTTTGCAAGAGGTTCAGAGTTATTTGGGCAGTCTTCATATAACTTTTCAAAATTATTTTTGACTGCTTAGTATGCTCTGGGAGACAAGGAGAATAGTTGTGGAATATCAGCTCAGAAGGAGGCTGCCACCTACTGAACTAATACATCTCTTCTGCTGGAGGCCATTAGAACTGCAATTCATTACACATCAATTAGTTACTTCCTTTTTACCCTTCCAGGCACATGAACATGAAATCAACTGATTGAAAAATTTTTTCACTAGTAGTACAGTGACTTTGTCTTCCCTCTCTTGGTTACAAAGTCATTTGTGATATGAGTAAACAAAGACTAAAAAACACTATACAATATTAAGAAAACATTAAAATACATCTATTTTTAAAAGACCATGCATGTGTATGGTGACTGCCAATATAATGATAATTTATCTTTCATTTCTCACAAGACATTATCACCTGCTACTTTATGAAACCAGAATGAGAATTGTTAGCACTCAAACATGGCATAATCCCAGTTCCTATTTGTAAAATCTGTAAATTATGAATCCACAATTAGAAGATTTCTTTCTTGTCTCTTCCACCACAGTGCAGTCTGGCTGGCTTTTAGACACAACAATTTTATGTGCATGGCAGTCACTTCCTTACAGCTGAAATACTACTTGACTGATCAATCACTAATAATGTATCTCAGATTTTCATATATTACACTTGCCTTTGCTGTTCTGCAACGGAATCCATGCCAACAAATTCCACAGTCTTCGTTCCAAATACTACTGTATCCCCTGTCCCACACAGAGCATCTTGCTTATCGTTCAATCCATACCGATCCTTTACTGCAGTAAGAAAATCTACTCCAAAATTTGCCTTGTTTGGCCGGATGAATGATCCTCCTTTAGGATGCCTAGAATAGAGCAGCCAGGAAAAGTTATCTTGACAATGACTGACTAATTAAATACTACTTTAAACAGAAGTACAGAGAACCAAAGCAGTCAAAAGGCAATTCCACAGGCTAATTGTAAACATCAGTGTTCCCAGCCAGCCAGGTAAGACTTTCAGAGTATCTTTGATAGTACTTGATAGAAATTCACTTAGTGAGATACCATGAGAAGTGGAGCACCAGCTCCCCAAAATGTACTTACACATCGAAATTGTGTCAGTGTCATTATTAAAAATAACTGCTCTGTTATTTCCAAACTCATTATGAAGTCAGGTTCTCCAGAAAAACAAGTTTCTGCCTATGGATAGACACAAAGTTACCTAAATCATACAATAATTGTGCTGGGAGTTTTACCAAAGCCTGAGAAACACTCAGAATAGTGATTGCTACACTGTATTTGACTTGTATAATTCACTTCTAATTCTATCACACAAATGACACAACATACAAATTGTAGCACTCAGAACTCTTATACAAACACAAACTTCAAAAAATCCTGATACCAACTTGGCAACAATTTCAAATATTCAACAAAAATATCCAACCAGTAATGTGTGTTCAAGACAGTCCAATGGAGTTTCTTGTTTTCTCTTGAGCACTGAAAAAACTTTGTTGCATTCCCATATCTTGCCATGCAATTGTTTTAACATTTTCTAGCAAAGTTAGCAAGGAAACACAGTATCAGAAAAGAACTAGCAGAGAAGTTATGGGAATGGTGTCACAGAGCAGATGAGGATCTGATAGGAGCATCAGCCAGAAAGCATCAGGAAGAAAATTGGTAGCTATGAATATCTGTCTGTCATCAAGCTGAGAAGACAGGAGGCTTTGGTAGGAAAGTGCCCAGGAGGAAGACATCACTTATGTAAATAAAACTTCTCAAAACAGCATGTAAGCATCAAGTGTCTAATTAGCAAACCATAACATAAACTACCAAAGCTAAAAGTTCAAAATTCTCATTAAAAAGCCAGTAACTAAAGGCCTCAAATCTTATGGACTGATTACAGGTAGATGGAATAGCTTGGGGACCATGTATTCACATTTTTGTTAAAAAATCAGTGCTGGGAAATTCCTGTGCCAGTTTCATTCATTAGCCATTCCACTGTCATATCCTAAAGAAGGGCCTAGGTAGAAATTCAGTATTACTTATTTTCAAGATATTATCAGTCTAGTTTTGTAATGACTATGATTAGATTGCAATGATTACTAAAGAAGCAGAAAAACAAACTCCTAAAGAATGTAAATCTGGTATGAACTTTTCATGTTTGATAAGCATTTTCAATACATTTTTAATCCAGTAACCTTCTCTTAAGTAATTTCTTTCATTCCTTTGAAATTCTTCATAGCTTGGAATCACTTGACTGATTTAAATATTAAACTTCCTCAAATGTAAAAATGATGTGATGCTTTCTTAATATCTCTTCTTAAAACAGTAAATTACCTTTTTATGACCTGAACTAGAACATTTCTTGCCTGCAAATATATCACTTCTGCATTTAATTAAATCAAACAACTTCACAGATGGCAGCTAGTACTGGATTCTGCTTGGGGCTCTGGAAAAATCCTTGTACTCCGGTCTGTCTGTAATTCACACTAGGTCGTGCTGTAAATTTATTCTGACAACAACTGTCCAATTTCCCATTACCATGATTTTGTCATCACCATCCCTCTACACTCAACAGTTCTGCTCTCCTCAACCCTCTCACCAGAGCCAATCTAGAACCTCACTTCTGCATTCCTCCTCTCATGTCATTTATCCCTATCATAGCCAAGACCTTTGGTCTCTCCATCACCATATCCATTCCTAAGCCCACTTCTGTCCTCTCAGGTCACCACTTCTATTGGCATCTCCTTCATTTTCCATGCAGGAACCAGTTCTATCCTTACGGAGGAAAAAAAAAAAAAAAAAAAAACAAGCAAAGGAACCTAGCTACCCTGTCCCCTGTCATATAGAGCTATTAAAGCTATAGGAAAATTTTAGTGTATTTATCTCTCAAGACTCTCTTCTTTCTGTCATGACCTCAAGATCATAGGTTTTCTCTCTCCTGTTGCTCTCACTTCCCATTACTCTGCACTTAACTAGTATAAGTTACCTAATGTATATTTAAATCCATTTCACAGCCTAAGCTTCTTTTTCAGTTTTAGTCTATTTGTTTGATCTACTTTCTTAGGAACTGTCACAAAAGGCAGAAAAGGAAACTGCAATAGGAACCTATTTTCAGGCAAAATTATTATGCATTCAAGAAGAGAGGTCACTGTAACTCATTTTCCCTAAAACACACTGCCTGTATTAAAATTTACATTAGGACATATGAATTGTAAAGCTGCATGTACATATCAAACAAATAATGTACAGCACCTGTACTAATGCAAAAATGCACCTATTAGCCATCAGTCTCCATAACTGGGAACTAAATAGATAAATCCTAATCCAAAGAATCATCCAGCATGCATATTATGTTATGGAAGGCCCTATGGATTACTCATCAACCTGACTTAAGATGAACACTCAGAAGTCTAAGAACAGGGATTTTGCTCTCATGTATGCAAATTGCCTTGCAAGCGGAACAAAACACTGTATGGAAATAGAGTGGTAGAAGATATGACCCAATTTTCTTAAGCAGAAAATGTGGAATATACTCTAGTGGGACTCTGGCAAGTGACTGGCTCTAGTTAATACTGATGCTTCCTACTGGCTTTTAAAATAGAGGTTGACCCCAGTCTCAGAAATCATCTTCCAGGACACTTCCTATTCATGATACAGTAGCCTGAAGCATACAAACCATCTGTTGGCATGCCCAGGGCACTTCAAGAATATTCATTAAAATTTAGATTAGCTGTCAGCTTCCACTGAATAAGGAGGACATTTGGCATCATCTTTGCTAATGTAAAACACAGTCATGGCACTGCTCATCATTACAGGTACACGATGGCTCTTCATATGCTCAGGAATTATCACACACACACTTCTCAGTACTGATGAACAACACAGGAGTACATAAATCCTAACAGCTACACACTTGAGCTGTCTGACTGTAGAAGCTCTGAGCCACGGAGAGAGATGTTAGCTTTATCAGCCTAGGCAGTAAACATGGATCAAAAGGCTTCTTTGCCCAGCACTGTCTGTTTGCAATGATCAGCTCCAGGCAATTACCATCATGACTGCAGCAAAGGCACTACAAGGCTCATAAGGTGCCACAAAGCAGAGCTGTTTGAATCCATGCACGTCTTTTCTACACAGATCTGAACAGATCTCTTCCTTATAGGGGAAGGTGTTCAACAGACAAAATTTATATTAGAAGAATCTACACCCTGCATGAAGAAAATCCTTTGTCTTAAAAAGAGGCCATGGCACCAAACAATGCTTACAAATGACACCTAACACTAACCTGCCATGGTGTATCAAATTCCTGACTGAGCAGCAGAAGCTTTGCAAGCATGAGCAAGTACTTCAAGTTCTTGAAAGTTTACCTTAGTTAAACAGACATGAAACTTGACTGTGTGCTTTCAAAAAACAAGACATCTGCAGTCTTAGATACTATTTTGGGGTTCTGCTGGTGCACAGTACATGTTGGAGCAGTGGTTAGGGACAACCTTTTGTTTCAACAAACTTCTATTGGCAGCAAAGATCATGAGTTTCTGATGAACAAAACTTCTTAACTAAAACCTTCTCAGGAATCTTAGGAATGCTTTCTGCCTTTGCAAAATGGAAATAATTTTTTCTTCCTGGACAGTAAAATTATATTTTTCCTGTATTTGAAGAGTTTGTCTGTGCTCTAGGTAGGTATTCCTGGAGGCGAATGTGTCACCCTTGAAGAAAAAATAGCCTAATTTAATATAAACAGATCTTTCATGGAGTAGATAATCTTGAATCATCATGCAACAAATATAGGACAACTAGGGGAGGAAGCTTGTAACCCACATTTCTCAGGGGAACACACACATACAAATGTCTGAGTGGGTCTGTGGGACAAGAACCTATAGGAAAGCACACTCATGTTTCAAAAGCTGTATATAAATTTTAACACTATCTTAAGGCTTGATAACTCCTCATCTCTCTTGAAGGACTGCAGAATTTATAATATAATTTAATGTATAATATAAAGTATAATATAATTTTATGTATAATTTAATTATGTTATACACTACTGCAACTGACAGCTAAAATAGCTTCCTCAGTTATTAAGAAACAAGAACCTATTATCAGGAAAAAATGGAACACAAAAACACCACTAGATTGTGCATTGCCATTTCTAGCTGATATAGGGTTGTTGAACATGCTCATGATGTCAGCATAATTTGAAGTATGGCTGTTTTGTTCCTTGGTATTCATATTCTTAAGAAGTTCAATTATCACCACATCATGACCCAGATAAATGTACTGCCATGAAACATAAAAGTTGACATTATATTTTAAAAAAAACTACTGTAGAGATCACAGAGCTGTAAGCAGACCTACTGTTTCAAGCAAGGACTTGAAAAGTCTCATTCTCTGGTAATGAGAATCTCAAAATCAGTTTTATTTTCCTCTTATGGTCTTATTTTCAAATGTCACTCTGAAAGATACATTTTTAAAAGCAGTTATTTTCAAAATTGCCTTAAAAACAATTTCAAAATGTCCTTTCACTGCATTTGTTTGCAGCACAAGCTACGTGATCAGCTGCTTCAGCTTATCAGAATTCAAGGAGTGAGCAAAGTAGGCTTGTAGGCAAAGGATACTTATGATAAGGTGTAAGGGGAAAAATACAGTTGTTTTTTTTTTAGGATGTGTATTATTCATCTACAAAGAAACATTATTCCCTCCTAATCAGCAGTACTAAAGAGGTGATGTTTTAAGTTGTAGGAGGGTTTTGTTTTTAGCATCCTTTAGCTAAAATAAGGTATTTTTACTTAAGTTTGCCTACATTATCACAGTCAATACAGAAACTATAAATGTGTCTGCACACAGGAAGTTATGTTTGTGTGTCTTGGTGGACTGCTGGAACTATGTATTCTCTTAGACTCCAGCAGGACCTCTTCTGACTGGAAAATAGCAGACTACAAAGAACACGTATTGAAAGAAAAATATGTTTAAAGACCACAACATTTACATTTGTTATGGGTATTGAGCTGCACTCAAAACATTGATTTTTACACCAAAAATTAAGGTTACTGAGATCTCATCTCCTGGAAGCATACTAATGGTTGCTAAAAACCCAAGAGTCTATACACATGCATATAAATATCATATACACACAAATGTAAAGCAATTGAGTTTCTGAAAACTATGAATGAAATGTTCAATTGTTTTTTCTGTCCAGAAAGATTTGGAATGGTCAGCCAATTATTTCTGTTTTTTTCTCCTACAGCATAACATAACTAGCTTCAATTTGGAAACTATTTCAATTAAATTCAAAGCATTTTGGAAGCAACTTCCACTAATATATTAATTTAAAAGACATGATTGTGATAAAACCATAATTTCTAATTCTTTAGCTGAAACAGAACATCCAGTGATGTTGATTTTTTTCTTGGATTAAGTGTGTTTAGCCTCCTCAAGCCTTGTTTTATTATTATTTGATACAAGGGAAAAAATATCCAGTCCTCACGGGTCAGTATTTTGTTTTTACTTATTTTTCTGAAGAACAGATTTTATTCTCTCATCCTTCACCTCTTCTATGCTCAGAAACTTACTGAGCTAGCAGTTTGTAGTATTTAAGAGCCATTGATGACTTTCCTCTATGAAGTCATATAGTTACTATTTAACTTACAAACTTTTTGCTGTTCCATGTGTCCTGACATAGAAATCAACAACTTGCTGCAGTTAATATCCATCGTATGAGTCCTGTATTCTGCAATATCTAACTTGTTAAGTGCTCAAATCCTTTCACTTAAAAGTAATGCATGCATATATTTTAAAACCCCACACAGCTGCACTATGTTTTGCATGTAGTAAATCAAATGAATATATTTAATAATTCCTTAGTGATACAAATATAACCCAAATCATTAACAGGAACTTAGCATTTTCCTGTAACAAGGTATATGCAAATCAGCTTAAATTAAAATATACACTGTATTTGAGATACTTAATATGGACCAATAGTTCAGAATTGATTCATGAAAGTCACTAGGAAATATTGATTTCGTAACTAAAGTAAAAGGTCTAAAACCTACTAACAATAACATCCAAAAGTCTCATTTTATAACATACCTCTGACACGTGACTTGTATTTTCTAAGTATTTAGTATACCCTAATGCCTGTAACTGGATAAATATCAATGCAAGAGGCTCTATGGTTAGCTAGTCAGAGCACTCAGAATTATGATCTTTTTAATATTGGCCAACTGATAACAGAAGGGTTTGCCCTAAAAATTGCCAAAGGGCCTTTTCCAATGAGCACCTCATCACCACATATGATATGCCAATGCTATGAATCAACTCACCTGCACTTAAAATACTGTGTTCCTTCATAGCTGCCATCATGCTTTCCCCTCTGAGGATCATCCCATTCCACACCCAGCCAAATTCCTGAAAAAAAATGGTTAATACTCTTTCAAATTTACAGCATCATATCCATAGAAATCACAGCTGGAAAGAACCTCTACAGTTCACTTAATCTAAGTGATAAAGCTAAAAGAATTTAGCTTTATCACTTGCACTAAAAGAAGTCACTCAGGTAATTTGTTACCTAGCCATACCTTAAAAATGTCCAAGGAGAGAAAGGTTGCAACACATCTGGTGAGCATTCCAGTGCTGCATTGTAATGGAAAAGGTTTTCCTGCTGTGGCCACTATCCTTTATTGTATAATCTAGTACTTGTAAGAAGAGTTGGGCTCTGCCATCTTTGTAACCACCTGTCAAACAGCTGCAGGAAGCCATTGGATGGCACTTTTTCTTCTCTTCACCACATTAACCAAGCCCAGATCACTCAACCTCTTCACAGCACGTGTATGGTCTGTGCCCTTAACCACCCTGGCAGTCCTCCAAGACTCCTCAAAAGAGGAGATCTTTGAAATCCTCTCAAGTTTATCTGCATCCCTCTTGAACTGGAATAATTCCACAGCAGATACATTACTCCAAGTGTAACCTTCTCAAAACCCCTGCCCCCAGAGAGGGATAACAGCTTCTTTTAACTTGCAGGCCATGCACCTCCCTCTAAGGTAACCCAGTACAACATGTATCTTTGCTTGTTACAGGTGATCTCTGTTGGCTTGTATTCATAACAGTATCCAACTTAACGCCAAGCCCTTTACAACAGACTCTGTGAGCCACTAGTCCTTCCTGGTCCCTACTACATGTGGAAATTTATCCTCCTTGAATCTCTTGGGTTCAAACCAAATGTTCATAAAGCTTGATCTGGATGGCAATTCTGTCTTGTATCAGAGCAGTCATTTGAGGGTGAACACTGCTCATCACCCAAGTCACTGAGGTATACGTGAAACAATACACACCTCAGCATTTACTTTTGTAGTACTCACTCATTACCAGATATCAAGTCATTAGTTACTTTTTCACTTGGTACTTTCAATTTATTTAATAGTCCATTCACCTACCTTGTATTTCTTCAGCTTCCAAATAAAATTCTTTACAAAGACATTATTCAAAGATTTATTTAAGTCAAGGAATATTGACTTATTCTCCCTTTATCCACATTCACAGTCATATCATCATAGAAAGTAATGACAATTGCCAAGCACAACTTCTTATTTACAAGTAACAAATACTTCCAACTACCATCTTGTCCTTCACAGGCTTGGAAATGGAAATGGATTCCAAGGAATGTGATCTTTCCAGAAACTGAAGTGAGGCTAAGGAGTCTGCAGTTCCTGGTCATCCTTCTTGCCTCTTCTAGAACTGTATGCAAAGCTAGTCTTCTTCCAAGAAATCAGGAATCTTCCCATAAATTTGAACATCTATAGTGGGTTGAGCCAGGCTAGATACCAGGTGCCCACTCAAAGCCACTCTGTCACTCCCCTCCTCAGTTGAACAGGGGAGAAAAAATACAACAAAAGGCTCATGAGTTGAGATTAGGCCAGGGAGACATCACCCACTGATTACTGTCATGGGCAAAACAGACTTGACTTGAGGAAAGTAACTGAATTTATTACCAACTAGAATTGGAGTAGCCTAATGAGAAATAAAACAAATCTTAAAAATACTCCCACCTCAGCTCTCCCTCCTTCCTGGGCTCTACCTCCTCCCCACGAGAGGTACAGAGATGGAGAACAGGGGTTACAGTCAGTTCATCACACCTTATTTCTGCTGCTTCCTCCTCAAAGAGGGGAGTCCTTCCCTTGCTCCAGTGCAGGTTCCTCCCGTAGAAGACAGTCCTCCATGGACTAGTCCAATGTAACTCCCCCCTTAGTGCTACAGTATACTTCCTTTGGAACTGCTCCAGCGTGGAACCCTTTTTTCATGGGGTGTACTCCTTCAGAAAAAAGCTGCTCCAGGATATAAGACCTAAGAGGAACCTGCTCCAGCAAGGCTTATCATTCAGATCTACCAGGAGCCTGCCCTGGGTGTGGTCACTACTTTATTTCAGGCATCCACCTGTGTGTGTCTCCTCCATGGGCAGCAGGTAGATCTCTGAACCCCTGCTGACCCCCCCGGGCTGCCAGGAAACAGCCTGTCTCAGTAGACCTGCAGGGGAATCTCCTTTCTGGAGTGTGGAGCACTTCCTTCCCCTCCTTCTTCACTGACCTTTGTGTCTGCAGGGCTGCTCCTCTCGCATATTCTCTCTCAGCCCTTCTCTGGCCACAGCTACCTTGGTGTAAAGAGTCTCTTTTCCTTCCCCTTAAAGATGGTTTCACAGAGGTGCAACTACCATTGCTGACGGGCTCAGCCTTGAGCAGTGGCAGCTCCACCCTGGAGCCGGCTGGCAGCCGCTCTGTTGGACACGGAGAAAGCTTCTGGCAGATGCCACCCCTGTAGCCCCTGCCACTCTCAGAGCCTTGTCACACAAACCCGAGACAATATGTTATCAAAGGAGCACCTGGTCTGGTGATCTGCTGCTGCTGCCTCTTACCTTCCCTGACTATTCCAGCACAGAGACAGGAAAAAGACTGTAAAATTCTTCTTACACCCTTTTGGCAACTCTGACTTCTTTAAAAAAACCCAAAATCCAACAACTTACGCAAATTAGAAGTCGCCATATTTACACAAGAACAATGAGGAAAAAATCAAACTGTAAATTGCCTCGTTTAGTCGACAGTGCTAATTAAGAGGAACATGAGTAGAATCTCGAGAACAACCGTAAAATGTGAAGATTATTACTGTTGTGGCGCTTACCTGCAGTAGGAGACACGCTGCCCACATAGCGCACGGTCCCATAGTCGGTGCCACAGGCGACCCGCCGACCCAGCGCATCGGGAGGCACCGCAGCGGCCATCCCGGGGCCGCCGGAGCCCGGGCTGCTCCCAGACCTGCCGGGACAGGAGAAACGCCCTTAACACACGCGCAAGCCGCTGCTCTCACGACGTCCCTGCCTTGAGCCGCCCTTTTGCCGCCCGGCGGGCCCCTCCCGGCGCCGCCCCGGGCGCTCCCCGCTCTCGGAGCCGGCTCCTGCGGGCCGCTCCCAGCCCGCGCGGGGCCGCAGCGCACGCACCGGCGGAGCCGCTCTGTGCCGCACTTCCGCCCGCGCCGCGCGGCTCCCGGAGCGCTCCGATTGGCCGCGAGCCCCGGGCCCGCCTTCTACCCTGCCCAAGTCACCGCCCGCAGGGACAAACCGGCCCGGGGCGCTGCCGCCGTGGAGCTTTCTGGGAAATGTCGTTCATCGAGGCGGCCTCGCCGCGGGGGATTGCCAGTCCCGGACCACAGCTCCCAGAATGCCGCGGGATGAGAGGCGGGCGCTCTGATTGGGCGAGCCCCGCCCGCGGGGCGGTGCCGGGGTGTCCCGCCCGCCCCCGGGAATTGCGCCACCCGAGGAGCGGCCGCCGGCTTACGGCGGGCTGCCGGGAGGCGGGAAAGATGCCCCGGGGGAGCGCCGCCGTGCTGTAAAGCAGCGATGGGAAAAGCCCTGCGGCACCGGTGGACCGACACTGAGCAGGAGATGGTTCCGAGTCCGTAACTCAAGGCGGGGGCGCTCTCCCGTGAGCAGCGGCTGAGGAGAACGTGGGCGACTCGCTGAGCAGTAGAGCTCGCCCGAAGCACCCCCGGAGCAGGGGGAGTCCCAAACGCTGGTACTCATCTGTACGCTGCTACATTTATTTTAACATTCAGTATTTGGGGAAAATATTCTAAGGGGATCCAGGAAAATCGAAGTTTATACAGCAAAAAATGAAAGACCTGACTGTGTTCTAGTACCAGTTGGTGAGGAACAGAAATTTTGTAAGAGTTCTTCAGTTTGACAGGGATAGGTATGGCAAGATCGAAGAGCTGTGTTTATGAAAATCAAAGTATCCTAATTGATGCTTTTCACCTTTTTTAATCTCTTGTGTTTCATAATTCAATGTCTCATAACAGCTTAATGCAAACAATAGCATTTGAATGTTGGCACCACCAAGACTGAAACGATCATGACAGTAAATAATCAAGCAGCTCTTTCAGTCCTACAGCTCCATTACGTCAAATCTGTCCTTTTGGCAGGCAGCACATTAGTACTCTTTACTCTGAGGCTGTGATACTGACTACAGAAATCGGGTATGGGTATTTGGCAACACTAGTACATTCCAACCAAAACAATCTGGATAATGTGTATTTGTATATTCTTTAGTATGCTGATAGCATGCTTCAAGTAACAGGCTTTGAGGGTGTGCTTTACTGTCTTGCATAAAGCAGCTGCTCCTCAAGGGGACAATCCAGCAAAGAACACTGTGCCTTCATGTCATAGTCCTCCCTTGCCATAGGTTATTTCAGGCCAACTAATAGAATTGGGGGAAAAAAAGACACCCTAGTCCTTCTTCCACATCTTTGGTGGCGCTGCTGTCTCATCTGGGTTCCTAAGCCCACTCATTTCCCACAGAGGGCACTCTTGGAACGATCTATTCCAGTTTCAAGCCATGCAGCTGAAGCTACGTGGACAGTAGTACAAGAGAGAGCAGTAAGGCCTCTTGCTCTCCTTTTTTTACTCCTCCACTGTTCCCAAGGTCAAAGCTGAGAGCATCTTCCACTTTGTGTACTGCCTGACAGGAAAGGTGCTGAAAACAAAAAAATACTTTTTGTGATCTTTCAGACCCCAGTTGCCCGTTTTATCCCTAGTTTGACAGGTGATCCAGCCATTCTCACAACGTACATGCATGTTGTCAAATTTATGCATTTAGTATTTCTAAAATGATAATGAGAATAGCATTAACTTACTGCTTATCCTTTCTATTTCTTTGCACTTCTTGTTTCAGTGTTGTAATCAACAAATAGCCATAGTTCGTGATCTGTACTTGAAAAGAAACAGGACAGTCCCAATGCCAACCAAACAACTAGACCAATTCAACATTTTCACATTACCTCAAATTCAGAATTTTATAAGCACTTAAGTAAAAATGGATTTAGCTTCTGAATTTATTGAACACTCATGCTGGTTGGTGTAAGATTAGGTTTATAGCACAGTTTTTACACTTTTGTGAGTAGCAATGACAATTCCTCTGTATGGCTTTTACTTTGACCTGTACATTCCATCCCACCCTAACAAGAAAGCAGCTGCAGGTTCTTCTGCCAAAACCACAGAAAAACTGTTTGAGTTGGTTCCATGCTTCATATAGTAACTCTGCAATTATAGGAAATTCTAGTTTTAAAGAACTTTAGGGTTTTTTTCCTTCAAACCTTCTTTCCCCTCCCATCTGTTCACACAGGCTTGGTGTCAGCCTGGTTTTAATAACTTCAGTCAGTGCAAGGTTATGCCTCCCTCAGCCAACAGAACTTCTCTGTGGAATGACAGACTGCAAGAGAATAGGAGAGGGTTTATGTATTTCAAAATACATAAACAAAATGAATGAATTTGCCATTTTACAGACTTCAGTAATCACTGAGTGATTAAGTAGCTCACACTATATGCCAAGAAATAGCAACTGCAGCATTTACGAAGAGAGTGAAAATGACCTACTGTGCACAAGAGATATGCAGCTGCTTAACTGTCAGCATTTAATTCATATACCAATGAGTAGAGCATTTTCCTGGAGCTCAAAAGCAGATAATTATCTACAATTTCCCTTCACCTCAGAGTTAGCCTTCTACACAAATTCATGTGAGGTTGTGTAGTGCTTTCCCTGGAAGTGTCACATTAGGCCTTCTTGGTGTATCTCCTGTGGTTCTCTATGCTGTACTAAACAGAGATAATCAGTAAATACCTTTTCAGTTGGTTAATTGAGATTGTACTTGTTCCATAGGGTATACAGCTGAGGAACACTATCAGGGTTAATGTGGTTTAACCTGCATCTTTGTTAGAAGTTTTTCAGATTGTATGCTTGAAGCGAGTTAATGAATCATGGATTATTCCTAGCCACACCTCAACAAGGTGCCTCTGAAATAATTTTAAAGTGCTGCAGAAAAGGTTGAACGCTGATGCTCAGCTATGATAAAACTTTTTCAGGAAGGATGTTAATGTGAGGCAGCAATCAACTCAAATAGGCATATGGCAGATTATGTTTCCCTGACTTCAAGAACAGAAAAATTGTTAAGAGAAAGAAAAATAAAGTCATGAAACAATGTACTCTGTTTTATCTGTACCTTTAATAAAATCTTTAGATTATATATGTAAGTTACATAAATAATTTTTAACTTAAGTATCTCTCACAGTCTATCTGGGAAGCTCAGAGAAACTAGCCACACACTTTAGCTTTTCCTAACAAAGTCAAGTAAATTCTGTAAAAGAAGGTAAAATTACATGAGACATCAGAAGGCAAAAATGAGTTCTCTTATTCTCTGATATCCTTTCCTTGGCCTTTGTCCATCTTCCAGCTCTGGCATTCATCAGGCTCTTTCTGAGTAGGATAATTCATTAACCTGGACAATAATTAACTTCTCTCCCTCAGGGCTAGACAGTTAAGTTTATTCATAAAAAGACCTAACAGTCATTACCACCAAAGCAAAATGGATCTTGAAAGCAAACAGGTAGGGCAAGGAAAGTAGCTCAACTTACATGAGACAAAAATAATTTATGGTCATGTAAGATATTACAGCTTTAGCTTCCTGGGGGAAAAAAAAAAAAGTTTCAAGCATTTTGAGGCTGCAGAAAATCTTGGATTAATTTTGGATTACTTTTGTGAAGGCAAATGATGAGCCAAGATTCAACATTTCAAAAGTATATCCAGACTAGTATGTTTGTCCAGGATCAAAACCGAGTTTGATGGTATTATGTGTGCTTGGTATTAACAGCAGAATAGAAATATAGCTGAAAGAAGAATTACAGTGAAAGTAATGAGCAAATAATACAAAGAGCATAGTAAATACCAAACCTGAAATGTAAAATGATGAAGATGGGACAAAGAAGAGCAATGGATGCCCACATGGCTCTTCCACATGGATAAAAGCCTGGCCCAATTCAGTGATAAAGGCATATTAAAGCTCAAACCAGTTTTCCATGAGAAATGCAAACCCCCTCACAAACCCCACGTTTTTATACCTTGCTGGCATTTTAACAATAACCGAGGAAAACAGTCATTAATATAGGAAATCTCCATAGCACATGCAGCCAGATTAACAAAAAGGCAGAAACAAAGAACAACCAAATAGTTTCTTTCCCATTAACATTTCTATATTGTTTGTATCAACAACTGGCTACATACAAAGTTGCTCTGAGTGGGTGCCTGAACAACCTGAGTTAAAAAGGAGAGGAGAAAGCCATCTCCTCAGGAACATCTTGATGCAATTTTCATCATAATTGACAGGGTAAACATAAGCCTATGAAAAAGCAAAGACAGATGTCCCATCCAGTGGCTGACTACTCTAAGACAAGTGACACCACTCATTTACATCCAAGGAAGCATAAAATCAGAAAACAGACTGAGGTAGTGAGGAATGCTCCAGATTGATGAGTATTTGCATTTCTCTTAATATGAACTGCAAGAACTAAACCCCCAGGAAATGCACTGATAACCTGATCAAAGTAGAACTTGCTGCAACAGTAGGAAGATAAGGGGAACCATTCTGGCTCACAGGGACTGACATTGAAACGATCATCCCATTTGTTTCCCTCTGGGCATCTCCACTTGTAACTCAGATTGCCATATTTTATGAAGATCAGGAAAAATCCCTACTCCCTGTGTTGTGGAAGGCATAGCAACAGAGGGGCACTCACACAACTAATTGTGCAGTCACAAGGACTCCCATGCTGCTTTAAAGAAAGGTTTTTTTTAACACTGTTTAGCCTCAGGAGCCAGCACCAGTAATAACATTGGAGGATACTGATGAACATGCACAGACTGATCTTATGGCACCAAATATAAAATCTACCTTGACTAAGCGACATCATTACTATCGGCATTTAGTATTTACAGATGTTCTACCAGCTTAACAGATTAAAAGGAAATATCCCAGCCTCTCCAGACTCCTGAATACATCAAGAAAAGCTCTCACAATCCTGTTTATCCTAACCTAAGAGCAACAATGCTCTACTTGTGGGCCTTTCCAGATATGCCCTCAGTATATGCTTTGTATACATCAAACACCTTGAAGGCAGAAGAGCAAGAGAGAGCTGCATGGACTCTTGTAACCTGGGAAAACAAAGCTGGACCAGCTGTTCCCTTCTTACCCATTTGTGGTTTAAATGGTCTGCAACTGGAAAACATCCATGTACCTACTCCTAATGAAGGCACATGCTACAAGATATAGATTAGAATAAATACTGGGGTGAATTGCCAAAGAAAAAAAGGAGCAATGACATAGCAGAAATCTCAGATGTTAGAAAAGCTTTATACAAACAGTAAGAAAAGCTACTTCATTATGGAAGTTTGATTATACAGAACTGCTTACATCCAGCAACAGAACAGAAATGAAATGGCACTAAGTGCACTTTGCATTGTATTGCAGTTACAATATCCTAACAGGCACAAGGATACATTTCACAGTAAGACTAGGAGATTCTCCTGACAACAATAAGCTTTTCAGTGCTTTCCCCTATTCAACATTAACTGCAACAGTGCTTAGAAACTTCCAAGACATGGCACAAAATAAATGTAATTTGTTGTAGATAGTGTTTTCACATAACACATTAAAAATTTACAGGCTTACTAAGCACTGCAAGTTATGAAAAAGGAATTACAATTCTTTTTCATTAACATTAAAGACACCTTTCACCAACATTAAGCTATTCAGTCATGGCAACCAGGTCCATTCAATGAAAAGCCTATTATTCAGTGTCTAATCAGACAAAGACTTCTCCTCAGCATGCAGATAAAAAGGACAGGCTATCATCCATAACTACATAGTATTTCAGACTGAAAGCAGTCCTCCTCAATTTTGTCAAGTTTGATCACTTTCAGAAAGATATTAAGGCTGCCCAGGGAAGACATTAGAGCAACCTTCTTCTGTTAATTTTCTCAGTGGGCTGAGATCATAGCTTTCCCTGTTTTCCAGGTACAGTAAATGAACACCTGCATAAAACTATCCTTTAGCCATCAGAAACCAAGCACCTCTGTCCATTTCAGAGCATGCTTGAGCTAACACCACAGCTTATAGCACCAATCCTACCTTTGATCCAAACCATCACCTTACTACTTCAAGTCAAAGCTTAATATACCTGTGAATACTAAGAGAACTGAACCTGATTAAAAGCAGCCCAGGCAAGAAAAAACCAAACATCTCTGCTTACATTTTATTAACATTTATATATATATATATATATATATATATATATATATACACATACACACACATATATATACATATATATAACTATATATATGTATCTGAGCAGACAACTTTGTTACTTATCAGCCCCACCCCTAAATCTTGCTCTCAGTCTCAGTTCTGTTTTGGTATGTCTATAATTTTAAATCTCTGTTTAAGCAATTAACAAAACCGAAGTGGCATTTTAGCTTGTAAAACAAGATACTGTACTTTGTTTTAAGAAAAAAATTACAGGCTCTTGTCTCTTTGGAGAGATATAGAACATGCCTCCAGACAGCAATTCAGAACAGGAATTAAATTTGAATTATGAATAAAGTCTTGGAGAAGCCCCTCAATTATAAGCAGAGATTAAAGAGACCTGCACCAATTATGGTGTCCTAAAGTTACCTGGTGTGAATTCCTTTCCATTTCTATTACCAGCTCATTATGTTGCTATTTACAGTTACATATTTGAGCTCTAATACATAGATTTAAGTTTCTGGCTACAGAATGTTTGACAATTTCAAAATCTAAAACCAGGTAAGCAAAATTACTGCAGAGCTGGAATCAGCAGCTGGAATCAGCAGCAAATTTACACTTCGTTGATGTGATGAAATCTTTTCTCTAAGGTATTGAAAAATCTTTATCAAGTCACAGTTTCAGACTGAGCATATCTTATTCGCATATGAAATAGCATCTTTCATAATTCACATTCACCTGAAAATATCCACAGAAGCTGGATAGGATATTCACTCTAGGACATAGTAAACTGATCCACCTGATCTTCACAAATTGAGCTTAGAAATATCACACAATTTTATGTTCTTGCAAGTGCCTTTTCTTTTTTTTTTTAATATGAATTTTGGTTCATAAGAGCATTGTTTAAAATGCATAATACACATATGTCAACCTGATTTAATTTAACACAGAATTTCAACCAACATCCTATCATTGCCTGGTTCGGAGCATGAGAGTTTTAGGTATGAAATAATGCCTGTGATTGTGTAAAGACTATTATATTTAGATTCAAAATTTGTTTTAGTTCTAGTACATCTGCTTTAACAAAATCAAATGTAAGCAGTTACAGTTAAGACTTTAGAGATAATAAGGTATATATTTCAAAACTCAATGACTAGTTACTTTTAACAGTAATTTCTGTAACATGGCTACAAGAGAAAGTTTTACATAAGATGGATTATCACAGCTCTCCATCTGGTTATTTTCCCATTTTAAGAGTTTTAATCCACGCCCAGAAGTTGATGTTTTAATTTTCAGGTTCTTTGAACATTTTGCTCAGCTGTTGAACTAGTGCTACAAGCTCAGGGTTTCCCCCAAGTGATTCAATTTGTTTATAGGCTTCAGATTCAAGCTCTTTCAATGTATTCCGAGTGTACTCAAAGGAACCAACATTTTCAAGGTAATGTACACAGTATTTTTTTATATCTATGTTCTCTGTCCTTTGACGTAAAATGTTTTGCACCTGAGTACTTTCAGGTCTTGACCAAATTGCATGAATGGTTGGGAATGAGAACTTGCCCTCAGTTAAGTCTTCACAAAAACTCTTGTTCTCACTATATTCTTTGGAGTGCAAGTTGGCATAGTCATCTCTTATTTGGAAGAAGAGACCAAGTGTGTTAAGAAGTGGCTTTAAGTCTTTTTTATAATTCGAAAACAGCTGCATGAGGCCTACAGCTAATCCGAAGAGACCACCTGTCTTTTGCAGTACCATCGCTTTATACTCAGCCTCTGTAGGACAGGTGTAAGTATCCCTCCAGTAAATATCCAAGCCTTGACCTTTATGGAGTTCCAGAAGTTGACGGGTAAATACTTTAACAGCATCTGGATGATCAAGGGTTAAAACCTTCTCTAAGCCAAGAAAATAAACATAATTAGCACAGTTGATTACAGACGGAATTCCATAGATACTGTGCGCCACTGGAAAGCCCCGTCGTAGCTTTGAGTTATCTTCAATATCATCCACAAGTAGGCTTGCATTGTGCAACATCTCTGTCACGTCAATGATAACCTGTTACAAAAAGAGAAAATTGTTAAGTCTGTCACTGTAATTTAACCATGAATTTTGCAAGACTATACTTAAAATTGATAATGTTTTAAACAACTACATTCTCTATCACTGAGGTTCCTCTTCAGGCAACTTGCACTACTGTTAGTACAGATTTATGCTTCTCTTCATCATCCAGTTTGCTCTAAGTCTTAGATCACATGGTCTTATGTGTAATGTTTTCAGCTTCAAAGTTAACTTATTCCCTGAAGTGCTTCCACTTGCATGCTCCTCTTCACTATTGCTACAGTTCTAAAACAAGCCATTGTTTAGGAGTCATGGAATAACTGTTATTAGAAACATGACTAGGGGAAAATAAAACAAACACAGTATTTTGAAATGTTTAGATTTACAAACCTGAAATCTCCCAAAGTTAATTCTTGAGAGTGTCAGGTATCATCCATTATCACATTTCTCTTGTGAACCAAGTGGAGAAGTCATTCTTTTCCCACACTTTGTGTGGTTATATTCAGTACTGAGCTCTTAAAGGACACACTATACTCTCTGAAACATAATTTGGAAAGTTCTTGGCAGAAAGACAACAGCCACAATTTCTTTTGAGAAGCTTCCTACACACTGCTTGTTACTAGGTAGACCAGTATCACATACCACCTGAGGTGTGCAATAAACTATTCACAACATTAGGCTTGTAGCTGACTACATTTGAGTAGAATGGAACCTTAACAACGCAACGAAAAATGAAGTCTTAACACTATATGCTGCTTTTATTTCACAGCTGCTAGGTATATTCAGCACCTGCTTAAATGGAAATAAATTTAAGCACGTAAAACTGCATACTGTATAAACTCACTGCAAAACACATCTGATTAAGATATGATTTAAAAGCTAATGAACCAATTACATTCCTTAACTACAAACATTGCATTCAGTCAAAATTCATCAAAACAACTGTTAAAAAATACTAAGGCCACCATAAAATGGCACTGAATATCTAATATGGTCCTATTTGGTGGGTGCTGTAGGACAAAATAAGGACTTTGCTGTAAGCATTTTCTTGAGGCATCAAGCTACCTGGTGTTCAGTGAACATTGTCCCAAAGATTAAAACTCAAACCCCAGGAATTTAATTCCTTTCCCAAGATATGATTGCAAGAACAACCTACGTAAACACTCATGAAATCAAAGGATAGAGTACTTACCGAAGGCAACTTTACACTCCTATTTGTTTGAATATACTTTTGGTCCATTATCTCATTCTCAGTACTATCAGGAACATTTCCCTGTGTTTTAAGAATTCATTGGATAAGCCTATTCTAGTACTTCTTTTGCTAACCTATTTTATATCACTGGCAGTTTCATGATCTCTTTCAGCTTCCATATATAAGGTTGAAAGGAAACTGTGTTTCCTGACTCTGTGTGTCTATCAAATTACCTTGTGAACTTAAGATAGTGTCAAAAGTGCTCCAAAGGTGAAGGAAAGGAGTGAAACAGCTCAGACATCAGAAAAAGCTTATATTAGAAGACATCAGGAAGTAGCCTGAGAAAATTAAAAGACTGGTCTCCATAATGAAAGCAGAAGACCCAGTACAGAGAGCTGTTTTCTTACAACCTACATCCTTCTAATCAGTATCTGCTGCACTATCAGTCCAACACACAGGTTTCTTCCACTTCCTTAACTGCAATAGCTTTAAAATTTGCCTGACTCTTGCTACACCATTTCAGTGCCTTCTCAGAAATAAGTTCACCTGACAAACTCAGTGTTCTCTAATTCAGCAAGCTGAAGTGTCTAGGTGCAGCACCAAAAGGGAACTAGAATTCAGTAAGCGTTGGGGGAAGAGATCACTTGGTTGGGGCAAAAGGTGAAACAGTGGCAGTTAACAGTAAAATAAACTACCAAGGTTTATACAATTAAGGTATTTTATTGTATACAAGATTATACAATAAAATACCTTAATTGTATAATCTAAAAAAACTACACAAAGACAAATAATCTAAGGTAAGAAAAAAATCCCAGAAAAGGGGACCAGAAAAAAAAGTGCCAGAATTCAATTTTTAATAAAAGAAATACAAATAGCTGGAAATTAATCAGGCTATTAGACACAGGGGACATCTTACAACAATTATAGGAGATGTCAAAAAGACGACCAGAGGTGGTCCTCCAGATTTCAACCATCTTTAGTTATTAAAATTAGTACTAAAATGCACAAAAGCTGTAATAATTGCGTCATGATAAAGATTAAAAGGTCTTGTTTTTTTCCTGCCATTACAAACAACTTAAGTGGTAAAGGAGACATTAAAGCACTGGTTTTCTTAATAAAGATAATCAAAAGTCCAAGTTTTCAATAGCAGTTACATAATCATCAGTTTAAAGTGACAGAACTGGTAATTTCTGTTCACACAGAGGCACTTCAGCTTTAGTTTACTATTAGCACTAAACAAAAATGGACCCCAATGTCATGGGTGCCCAGCAAAAGGGCAGGCAGCAACAGTCAGACTGCAACATAAAAAGAATCCTAGTTGAATAGAATGGAAAGTTTGTCATAATGAAAGGGGTTTAGCATGAGAAGACAGGCCTTGGGAAGCTGCAGAAACCCCATCACCAGATTTTCAAAACTCAACAGGGCTCCAGAAGCCTAAAGTAGCTACAGAGCAAGCTCTGCTTTAAGTACAGGGTTGTCCTTGATAACTTCCAGAGGCTTCTTCCAACCCAAATTCTGATCTGTGATATTAGATTAAACCCATACATACAATACACAGATTGCTATATTATTTATTTTATGTGGATGTTTGTCTGAGCACAAAGGGTAAGATGTGTCTAGCTGAAAGACAGAATAAATTTTGCTAGACAGTTACACAGGCTGAAAAATGGAAGAGTTCCTAGATTATGAAATGCAGTCTCTTAAACCACTTAAATCACTTTGCTACTTGACAGCTATGAAGTAGTTTTAAGTCACTTTTAAGCCACCTTAAAAATGACTCCTTCACAAACTTTAAAGATACTTCTGCCAACAATAATGAAATTAACAAAGGACCAGCTGGGTGTCAAAAACCACAACTGATTATATTGATTCTTTACGTTGCCTTGGACAAAAAATACCTTGCACACTCTGTACTCAGTTTAGCAAAACTGCAGTCTAACCTAAAAAGGAGGATAACTTGTCATTTGAAAAGCCCCAGTGTTTACACACACAGCCATGCATCTTGCACAATTTGTCCAAGAGAAAAGGTAATGAGAATTTCTAGATAATCTTTCTCATTAGAAAGTAAGGACTGCAGAATATATTATACATCCCTCTCAGTTTCAAGTTTGTAAAGTTGATTTAATGGCTGTCTTTGATATTCTTGAATCAACATCTCAAGATTTTATTTTCAAACACTCTATTTGTGAAGTCTACAAGGTAACTGTCTAGCTTTTTGTAAGTCATTAAAAACACAGTGTTAATAACTGAGTTATGTTAAGCAGATAACAATGATAGCTGCTTACTCACAACTTCAAAGGTTAACACACTTGGAAAGAAGTAAGTATTCTAGGAAGTCATGGAAGTCATTTCTTTAGTGTTGCATCACAGTAAAAGCGTTGCACTGAAGTTGTTTTCCTGAAAGTTCACTTTATATTCAGAAATTAACGCATTTAAGACTTCTGATAATTTAAGCTATGTAAGAGAATCATGTGTTACCAGTGGTCTTAGAAGAAAGGTAACAACATTTTAAAAATAATTAACAAGTACCTGTATTTTATCTTCTGGAACATTCAGCCAGTGATTAAAGGCCTGTGACAGTTTGGTTCTCACTTGCTTACCTACAATAAAAATATTACAAGTGATTATAAAATAATAGAGTTCATTATTAAGCATAACAGTTTGTCTTATCAACTACAGCTGATTTGAGATCCAATTAAAAAGCTGATCAGTGTGACAACACAAAAGTGGAAAATAGATCAAAGCAATACTTGTTTCTTTATTGAATAAACATTAATTGGCAGCAGTTTCAGTTTTAAACACTTTGCAGGAATATTTAAAGCATGTATTTACAGGTTATTAGATTTTGTTTTCACAGTTTAATTAGTAAGGGGTCCTGACCATATTGGTAGCCTGTACAGATCAACTAGTTTGCAAGGCATTTTAAGTTTAAGATTAAAAAGTTTCAATTATGATTCATTATTAGTTGAAAGTATGGGTATTTGTTGAATAGCTATTTCTCTCAATTTTTAGGTCTATCTCCTGCAGTACTATTCTTGACTTGCTACTGTAAATTTCTAAAACAGGAAAGTGGTATTTAATATACTTACTAAATAACTCTGAAAAAAAATCTGAACAGAACATTCGGAACATAATAGAACTTTCCAAGAATTCAGATATTTATCTTACACCCAAGAAATCTACCTACAAATAGGGTTTGGTCTGCTTTGGTAAAATCTACTTTGTTGGAGCCAGGCAGTCATTCTGGCAAGACAACACCAAATTACCAAGTTTGGTGTTAAAACAAGTCATCTGCTCAATCCAGATACTTTCTAAATGACAGAGTGAATTTCAATAGAAGTTAACCTTATGCGTATACATTATTGGTGTCTACTTTCTTTGGTAATTTGCTAGTTTTCATGTACAAATAGCCATTTTACATCTAGTCATGTTGAATATGAAATAAAGTCATCCCCTATCCACACTGAGACCATTCTGCTCTGAACTTTGAGATGCTCAGCTATGTATAATATCTTGCAATAACTGCAAGACAGGTTTACAAAAACAGGTCTATATATACAGCTCATATAAATGCACATTTGGAAAAAAGCTTTAAATAAACTTCAAAGCAAGTGTAACATAGACACCCATGGAACCCATATTACTTGACTCAAGATGTACTGAGACATAACTGAGATAGTCTGCAATATTAGTCCTCATGTTGATAATTCCATTTTGCCCTTAGCACCAAAGAAAGGTCAACATTTGAATCTCTCCCTAAGGCTTCTCTATGACTGTGTAACCAGCCCATACAGAACAGAATAATAAGTACAGGTAAATTCACTTGCAGTGATAGATCCCGGAGAAACTAGACTATGAATTTTTCACCTTCCCCCCTGCTTACCACCACCAGGTAAGCAATAGCTTTGTGGGTTGGGCTCTGCAGCAAAGGTGATAACCTTCCTCCCTGGATCAGAGGTCTGCACTTTTTGTCTCAGTTCTCAATGATTTCCACTGCCTCAGTTCACACAATCTTCTGGTCTTTACTAGACAAGATTAACAAAATGGTCCTCTTTTTCCCCCAGCAGCTCTGTCCTCTGCTTTTGCCACATGTGAACATGCATTCTTACCTGGACATACACTGCCATTGGCCTGTTTCTCCATTTTTGTTGTCTGTTCTCAGTTTAAACACTAACAGTTTTCTACAGGAAGGAAGGATTGTTTTGTCTCTCCTTGAGAATAACTGTTACAAGTATTTGCCAAACTGTATGGCTTACCAGTTAAGGATTAACAAGTATTTCACCACATTCAAAACGAAAACCAGTCAGAGATAATATCACATTAAGGAACTGTATCTTATCTATAGCTGTTTATTATCTTCTAAATTACTTCGATACAGACAACACCTGCTTTTTCTTTTTATACTAGGCAGCCAATCCTGTTTTTCTGAATGCGTTTCCCAGAAAACAGACTTAAAGAATGCTGGATGTTCAGCAGCAAGCATTATTTCATGATGAGGAACCTGACTACTAGAATGCACTCTAAATGGATTATAACATGTACAAAAGACTAAGCCACTTCAGTTCCTTGGTACAAACAGCATTTGAGTTGTTAGAATTGTCTACTCTGACTAGCAAGATTTCCCAGACACAGACTATTCAAGGAAAAAAACACTACCTGTATACGGAAACATTTATTTTTCCTTTTATAGATGCAGATTTGCTCATGTTCTAAAGGAACATTATTGCTACATAAATGCTGTTTTATCTGATTCTGAAGTCAATCTTACCTGGTCTATGTGATAGTACAGCAATTGTCTGTATGCACAATTTATGCCTGCAGCCATACTGTAGTGGCAAAAGACAAAACCCTCCAATACTGGTCTCTAAACCGGGATGCAGAAGACTCCATTCCTTGCAACATCCCTCCTCTCCCCAAACTAGACAAAACAATATAGGGACACTAGGACAAAATTAAAAGGAGCACTGCCTGAATTATCCAGTTTCTTCACGTTCCACTGCTCTGTCTAACATCCAAAATTAGAAGCTATACCTACTGTATAGAGCTATAATAATAGACATTACTGCACCAAGCTTTTATCAAAGCTCTGCTAAATGCATTTAGTTTAATCTGCCTAAGATCCCAAATTATTACCCAAATAAAACAGCAACTATGGAAAGCTTTCCTCCTTAGCAATGCTGGGTGGAAAAGGTGAGAAAAATAGTGAGAAATTCCTTCTACAGCTAAGAATGTTAAAGCTTTATCCTCCAAACAAATATCAAGTTAAAGATGTGTATTAAGGACATTCCATCCTTCTCGTCAGATGAGATGCTCCTCATCTAAAGGAAAAAAAAAAGGAAAAAAAATCAGCCAACTTACTCTATATACACACTTGTTATTATGATAGTGCACAGACCCAAAAACTACAGACCTCCATTCTGAACAGGCTCCTGGTTAGTATTGCTTCACTCTTGCTGTATTCAAGTAACCACAAATTACGCCCTTAAGGCAGCACCCCACTTACAGAGAGGGTACATGAAAGGGCTAGAACAGCATGGAAAGAGCAGAAGGACTATTAACCTAGCCCCCATTACAGCTAATTCAACTCATTAGCCCAGCAGAGAACACAGCTTTTTGCTAGGTTAGCTTTCTGCCAGCTTTATGTACTGAGTCAGCTTATGCAGTGGATCTGCCACAATCAGTACAGGGTGAGCAGAAGATGCTGAGGATGAGGGGAAGGGGCATTGCCCTTCTGGAGGAAGAAAGCTCTTGTATTACCTCAGCTGTATTGTACACTTGCACGTTTAGTTGCATCCCCTGATGGATCAAAACTAAATGGATAAAGTCCCCAGGCAGACCCCTCCAAGCAGCTACAAGAACACTATAAACACCATAAGTGAAATGCACAAAAACAAGCAGAGAGCAGGCACACACATTTTTAACCTGTGCAGCTACTTGCGCCTGATTAAGGTCATTGACAGAATTCTCTAGTGTAACTCCTCTGCTCAAAATAGGGTTAACTAGTCCAGGGTTGTGATCCTGATTTATGCCTTGCTCCTTCTCACAATCCTGAATGTCACTATCCCATGGTCACTGCAACTAAGGTTGCCTCCAGTCTTAAAGTCCTAATCAATTCTCCCTTCTTTTTAAGTGGAAGTCCGGCATAATGCCTTCCTATATCAGCGTGGTCACCTGTGTTAGCATGAGGTCATCAATTAATTCCAGAAACCGCCTGGACTGCCTGTGCTCTGCTGTGATGCTTCTTCTACCACACTGTGAGGTAACTGAAGTCTCTCATAAGCAGCTGTAAATATTAAGCATTTTGCAGTTGTCTGAAGGCCTCATCCACTTCTTCCTGCTTAGGCAGTCTGTAGCAAACACTCACTATATTGTCACCCCTATTGATCTGCCCTCGAAACTTAACTCATAACCTCTCAACAGGCTCATCTGACTGAAGGTAAAACTCCATGCAATTCAACTGTTATTTCACATAAAATGCAACTCCCATTCCTTGCTACCCCAGATTGTCTTCCTAGGCCATCCACATCAATCCACTGCAGCACTCTGTGTGTTTATACCACAATAAAATTGTTGCCCTACAGTTGCATGCCAATCTCTGCCTCCTCCCTTTTACTTCCAATAATGTATGCATCTGTATAAAGGCACTTCAGAGAAGCATCCAGCCCTGCAGATCCCCAGAGAAAGCAAGAGGTTCCCCTATCAAGTTCTGTTTGTACTTTCTTGTTGGAGTGCTAGGATGATATGCCTTCAGATCTGAACTGTAGATTACTAAGTGTCTTGTTCATATCAGCCTATACACTTCGTTTGCAAGTTCACTAATTCCTTACTTGATTGTGTATAGTCATTTTCTTTTACTATAATCTCTACTTTTGCCCTGTCTTGGATAGGTGGATGCTATCTCCTCCTGGTAGTCCTTGCTCTGCAAAGGAGGTCTCAAGGCTATAAGAACCAAAGCTCTGATATCAGCATGAGCTGTGAAACTAACTAGCTGTAGACAGGCAGTATCTGTTTATTCCTCCTGATGGTGAGAAGGGGGTTGAGGATCACAGAGAAGATCCACCTGCCTTCCTGTGGCCTTGGCCCTCATTCCAAAGGCCACATAGTCTTGCTTGATAAGCTTCAGGCACCCTCTTGCTATATCCATTAGTGTTTAAGTAGCAGAGCTGTAAGGTTAAGTATTTTAAAGGTGGAACATACCTTGACAGTCCTTCCCTCCCATCCCTATCAGGGGTATACAGAAGCAGCAAACCTCCCTAACACAAAACCACATGTGGAGGCCTCTATTCCCTATAGGAGTAAGTCTCTCCACTATCTGCAGAGTCTCACCACTTGCTGCTGCCCCAGGTGCTGTTCTGATGCTTTGTTGTATAAAACTATAGAATCATTTAGGTTATAAAAGGCTTATAAAGAGCTTCCAGCCATGTGTCTTTTTTCAGTGCACTGAACCTATTTGGCAACTGCACATCTGTTCAAGGAACAGGAATCTCTCTCCTGGTGCCACAGGCCACCAGCCTTCACCATTGCAGGAGTATCCATCTGCCAACCTATTGTGCAGAGACTATTTCTGCCCCATTGTCAATATACCTGGAGGTTTCAGATTCTTGAATCTGAGGAATCTTGTAATTTTTGCTATAAAGATGCTGTGCAAGCCTGCTGATCCCCTTCCACCATTCCTTTGCTTGGTGACACAGGTTTTCCACAATTACACACCTTTAGGAGCAGGGACATCACTTGATTCCAGCTAGTGGGTGTCCCCAGGCATCTGTGTAGTTCACACTCTAGAGAGGTGCAGCCTCCTTCAGGAACTTGACCCAAGCTGAGGCCTCTGATGTGCCAAGCGTAGTTGTGCCAGTGGTAGGGATCATGGCCTGTGATGCTTAACTCCTTCACCAGGCTGATCAAGTTCAACAACCCGGCAGAGAAAGCTGAACAACAAAACCAGTCTTGACTGTTTAGCTTGTTAAACAAGACCAGGAAAGACTGCAGCCAAGACCAGCAGGACAAGAATGGGAAGACGCACAGTCATGAATGGGATTGGAATCTGCCCCTTTCAACAGCAAGCTATTAGCCATATCAGTTTTATGACAACTGAAATTCCAGATACTCCTTAGTGCTACAATATCAGCTACTGCTCTTAACTCAGACTCTCAAAAATAAAAAATTCACCATGTGTGTGAATTAAGTAATTTTTGAGACAAACCACAACAGAATCTATGAAAGCCAGTCCTGCACTTTATGATACTAAGTGACAAAATACAGATTAAGCAGAACATTGCTAAAAACTAGTATGGCAATGCTCCACTACAATGAGATTTTACAAGAAAAGTTACTGTTTCAGAATCCATGTTCTTCTCCCAAACAATAATTTCTGCTCAAGAAGGAATAAACATTAAATACCATGCTAAACATTAATTACTAGCACCATACTAAACACACCTTAAGCCTCGCAGCTTCCCTTTCCTAGCGCTGTTTGAAGTCAAAGAAATATACAAGGTTACCTTAAGTATCACCCCGAGACTGTTACCATTATAAGTCTTATTTCAGCAAAGGGAAACAGAGTAATCAACTGAGCGGTTAATACTTAGCAGTTTAAAAAAAATGTGTGTCCTTATGCTATTGACAACATCAGCCTGCTTTTCCCCTTCCCTGCTACAATCTTAATACAGTTATACAATCCCTTTTTATACAAACAAACCTTGATATATATCTACATTCATTCAACCATAGCTTACTAAACTACTTGGAGAGTTTAACTAGTCTTTCAAGATAAGGAACTGGACTACTGTAGAGCAATAGTGTACATATTTGACACTTAGCCAAGCTTTCTGCAAAGCCCCTCAGAGCTCAAACTGATCCAACAGAGAAACAGCTTCTTGTTCCTATCATTGTGCCTGCTCACTAACAAGACAAGAGATTAACCAGGCAAGTTTTTAATAGGTTAGGTGATTATACTACCTAATAATTTGATTAGCAAGTTGAGAACTGGCACAAGTGAAGCAGCAGGAGAATACTGCCAGAGGCTAAGAGGATTGAATGAAACTGCCTCTTTCAACAAGAGCCTGTTATATTAGCTTGGGCATCTCATTTGAGCTCCACTCTAGGTAAAAACAGCATCTATAAGTCTGTTTTTTCCACCCTTACTGAGCACTGGTACTCACACTGACTCCAAGATTCACACATGTAACATGATCTGTACTTGGCATAGCTGACCTTAGCCAAAGCCAGTGTTTCAAACACAACAAACATGATTAATTTATGACTGGGAACCCTCACTGCTTCACCTATTATTCAATACAAGCACCCCACAGGTACACCACTTTCACCTGCCTAGTTTATGAGAAGTTTTCTCTTTTGAATCAACCACCACTAGTGCATAGGGACCAGTGTATCTTGTTTCTCACATTCCCCAAAACATACACTAAATTAACAAGAAGTCAACATGGTAAAGTGGACTATCAGATTTATGATACTTATTCAGGACAGGATATAAAACACCTGTACTGGCAGTGAGTGTAGTGTTACATAAGCTACCAGTAGAGAGTTATTACAGTTGAACTCACAAAGTAAAGGAATTTAGCCAAAGGAATCAAGGTGGGAAGGTTAAACATATATTCTAGATGCATCATTTAAAGTGAAAGGTAACTGAAGAGCTACTAGCCAAGCACTTTTGCTTATAGAAGATTTTTCAGCACTTTTGGGCTGAAAAATTTCCTACTAGGAAGCTGAGCTTTTCTTCCTGGTATCTACAATAGCTTTAAAAATAATTAGCAATGAAAGATGCAGAAGTGTTGCAATATTCCTCGACTAATGAGATAATCTGATAAAATAAAAAGTAAACTTAAAGATTTATATTTGAGGAAAGCAAAGTTTTTCAGGACCACGGCTTAGAAAGCTCTCTGTAATATCACAGACTCATTCTCAAGGTAGTTCTGTAGAAAGACCACCACCCAGTTCAACATATCCAAAAGGAGTACACATGAGGAAATGGGAAACAAGCCTTCTGGCATTAAAAAGGCATGCAACTGCCAAATTTTTTCCTTTTCTTAGTTTTCAACTCGGTGCTAACTGCCAAGTCAAATGAAATCACTAATGTTGGCAAGAAAATCCTGGATATTTGTAGAGGTTAATAATGAAATTCATTATACACAGGTATAATGAATTAGGACTCGGAGGACCCACCCTACAGATATACAGCATTTGTTGCAGATGTGCAAAAGCCACGTAGTACTCTGCCTGTTATTTATAATGCTATTTGTCTAGGCAGAAGGTCTTCTACCTTGGTCAGATATAATTTTGATCAGAAATATTTCCCTACTATTTACCCAAATTTTTTGTCTTCCTTAACTCTTTCAGCATGCAATACAAGCTGGACAGAGGGCAACCAGGCATTTATGCAGTAGCTCCAATGACAAAGTTGTTCCACCACTATTTTTACAAAATTAGTCACTTTGATAGCCTGTATGGTCTTTCTTACACTTTGGGTGTACAAATAAAAGTCACAGCAATCTGACTGTTTAGTCGAAGAGGCTTCCAAGGGGCACATCCAAACATGCCCCCTGAATTCTGCTATACTGCTCAAGACTGAAAACTTCATATGAATGTATTGCTGGTGACCTGATACTGCCCAAGGACTGGCTGAACCTCTGACAGGTGAAGCAAGCCATGAATATGGACAGCTGAAATTGGCAATAGGAGCATCTGTCTCTATACACACCAAAGAGAATAAATTACTTGAGAGGAACAGGCTAATGAAAACCTCAAAAAAACAACACAAAACAAAACCAAACAAAAAAAAAATCTCCCAAAGAACCCTAACCAAAAAACCCTCAAACAACATCCCTCCCCCCTCAAGCAAAACCAAACCCACAACCCACTGAGTTTAGTACCGCAAGCAACTAAAGGATAAAATATTGTCAATCCTGAGTTTAAAACCAGGATCAAGTCTTCAGTACTTGCCTCTACCAGTTTTTAAAAGCAGCGCATCAGCTACTCTGGAGAACAGAATAACTGCAATATTACTTACTACAATTGCAATATTAATGTGGCAATAATACTACAGACACAAGAGCTATTGTACCAGCTTCAAAAAAATAAAGGTGGTTCCATAAGAGGAAGAAAAGAATAAGTACAAGAGAAACAATGAAAAGTATTACATTTTATTATTCTTAAATCCACACATCAAGAGCAGAAAAACTTCTTTATTCTACTTCCCATGACAAAAGTTGCTATAAAAACAATTTTGATATTTAAAACAACACAGTACAAAGAAACTTGCCTGGTAGTTGAAGCAAATACTGGTATGGCTCTAGGATTCTTTTAGATGTTTCATCCATCCCATCCATTTCTTTATTTCCTAAGATGTAGTTCACTGTTAAAGAAAGTGTTAACACTATTTAGATTTAAACATTTGGAAGTAAACAGTAGATACATACAGCTAAAATGTCAGCTGACTTACAGGTTAGGTGCAAATACTCCTATTTTGTTCATGACACCTTCAGTATATAAAAGGTCTCCAGATGTCATTTACCAAGGAAACACATACAATACATGTTAAATAGAGTTTTCTTGAATTAATCATGAAGTTTAAGCCAACTCCTAGACTTTGTTTACTTTTTTGTATGTAATAGACTGCTTAGGTGATGAAGTATTTAAAACTTTACCATTCACAACAATAAAGCTCCACTGCAAATCTTTAAAGACACTCATACAAAACCCCACATGACTAATATTATTAGATCTTCCTAAATGCTTTCTCCATACATTAGACATTCCAAAAGAGCTAATGTCTAAGAGCAGAAAATACACCTCAGACCAAGACAACCTAAAGAAGTAGAAAACTAGCTTCAGTCTTTTGATATAATTCCTCAATCTTCTGTTATAAGTCAAAATAGAAATATACCATTTTTCTACCACTGATCAAGCATACAGACTCTACACACTTTTCCATACACCAGATATGTAACAGACTCCTATGAAGAACCTTTTAGGATCCAGGGCCTACAGAGCTCAACAATTTTCTGTTGATTAGCTTCAATTCCATGTACTTTTGGTCATTTCCATCTGCATTTTTTTTAAAGATTGTTTTCTGTGATAGATTTACTATCCTTTCACCTCTAGCCTTCCTTACTGCACTGCAGATGCAGCAACTCAAAACAATTATTCTCATGTAGTTTTAAGACAGGAACTGCAGGAGTAGCATAAAGTCTCATGCTACTTCAGCATCACTTCTCGGATACTTTGCTAGTATCCTGCAAAGGATTTATTTCTTTCCTCCCTGAGCAAGTGAATAGTTATGTAAATTAATGTCCTGATTTTGGCTAGAATAGACCTATTTTTCCTCCTATTAGCTGCTGCAGTGCTGTGTTTTGGACTCTGTGTGAGAATACTGTTGCTAAATAATGCTCACTGTAAGTGAAGGACTTTTCAGTTTCCCAAGCTCTGCCAGGGAGCAGGTGCACAAGAAGCTGGGAGAGTATAGCTCAATCAGTTCCTGTCTATTCCAATTCCCACTTCCACACCAACAAGCATTTGTAGCAGTCTGTACTTGGAGAAATTATCTGTGCTAATAACTATTTTCCAAGTTTAGGTATAGATTAATTCCTTCATCTGCTTCCCTCTGTATGTTCATCAACTGTATTGGCACTTCAGGGGCAAGAAAGGCTATTTAACCAAATATAGTTGTCAACAAAATGCTTGTAAGGCTCCACCTCTTTGGGAAAGCTTCGCATATTTTCTAGGCAGTGATGATGCTGTGATAAGAAGTACAACCTTTCCATCCTATCCATGATGTGCCAGCACAACTACTGGTCAGGCCACACACTAATCAAAATCAGATTTGACACTCCTGACTCCTTATTTTTTGCCAGCTTGTTGTTGTAACTGAACCACTGTGAGGCAGCTGTCAAACTGTACCCTTACGTATAAAAAGAGTAAGTCTCAAAGGACTTCAGCAAGGAGTTAAAATCAAAGATTTTCAGAGTCTACCCCCAGATGTTTTAAGCAGAAAGAATCTGGTCGAGATAGATATAAGGATATACTATCAACCTAACAACTCCTCTGTGACTATTATTTGTTAAAAAGCCACAAAGACAGTGATAGAATTGAAAGTGCATAGCTATCCAGCTAAGCTGAGAAGAGATGTTAGGATTAGAAGTGCTCTCCTATAAAATCTCTTGCTTAGAAGTAAATGTTAAAGCTCTTTCTCTTCCCTCAGGGAATTAGGTCTCTTGCTCATCTGTAAGGCAATAAGTCAATATTCAGAATCCCCAACTAACTTGAAATTCATTAATATTGTACAGCATCAACCTAAATATGTGCATCTTTCTGCACAAAACTAATAGGAGTTCACCTGAAATACTA